GCCATCTAGGAGTCGAATCATCATCGCGCCGATCACACACCAGCAATTCCCGGAGCATATATGGCGATATAGTTTCGATAGGTTTGTTCGAGCGTGAGAGAAACTTCGGCGTCTTTCAGAGCAATGATCTTGGGAAAGTAGTGGCCGGCGAGAGTAAAGCCCCAAAAGTCGCAGATGTATGTCAACCACACAAGGATAGTGATGCGAGCCATCTGCTTGCCCTGGAAAAGCTGCTTGTAACGACTGAGCTCTTTCTTGCTCTCGTCCTTCCAGTGCCTAGGGTCAAGCAGAGACTTTCGAGAGCCACCGGAGTCAGAGTCGGATAGGGTGTCCGCAGATTGAAAGTCCTGGATCGTCAACCCGCATTTCTTCTTGTTCACCTTCGACACGCTTTGCAAGACTGCGAGCGCCTTTTGGTCTTGTCCTTTGCTGAGCAGGAATTTTGGTGACTCTCTGACATTGAAGACGACGAAACGTGAAAGGAAAACAAGGACATTGATAGCTCCAACCGTGTACAGAACATATCTCCAGCCTCGATTATCTTCTGGTCGGCAGCATGCCTCGCCATTGGACACGTTATTGCAGGAGGGTAAGGCATTGTCCATGCTGAAATTGGGCTCGCAAGAGTGCGACGGAACGAAGCCATAAGCGATGACGCTTGTCATGACCACACCAATCGGCTGGAATATCGACAACATTGCCAGAAGGAAGCGGCGATTGGAGGGAATGAATTCCAGGCAGATTGTCGTGTCGATTGGGATGTTGCCGCCCACTCCAAAACCTATGAAGACGGTGAGAAGCAGGAATGTGGCATAGTTGTTACTCGCTCCTAGGCCAGCTCCAAAAGCAGCGCTAAAGAGACACGTCAGATTGAAAACCCAACGTCTGCCAACGACATCTCCCATTATGCCCCAGAAGAATGCTCCAGCAGTAAGACCGGCAGAAAAAGCAACACTAATATTCCCACTCTCGCCCGGCGAGAAGCCAAACTCTTGTTGTACGGCACCCAACACCAGGCCGAAAGCCTGCGCGTAGAGCAGGTCAAGGAGGTATCCTAGGCCACACAGTGTCCACACAAAGCACTGATAGCGTCCCATTCCATGGCTGTCTATTTCTTGGTCCACGACTCGATACTTCTTCTCCAAGGCACTGAGTGGATTCCCATCTGAGTCCTCGTCGGGGCTCTGCATGGCGACCGGTCTTTCTTCGAGATCTTGGGAGTACCCTCGTGCGTGGCTCGGGCGATGCCTGTTGCTGGGCTCGTCAGCGAGCAAAGGCATGCTCGACTCTTGTCGAACAGGAGGAGGCATGTTGGCAGGTGTCCGACCAGTCAATTCACCAAGCTGCACGATCTGGGGAGGCACAAATGGCCATGATTGGGGTAGGCACTGATTATTGTGTGCGTATTGAGGTGAAAGGAGTGGTATAGAAAGTGAATGACGACGTGCAGCAGCCATGAGGGCAAAAAGAATTGAGTGACAGAAGTCTTGGCTGGAGCGCGCACGCTTCGCGTCGTCACGTCACGTCATCTTCACGAAAAAGCGGCACGGGCAAGAGCAACCAGCTCACGCGTATATCAGGTGACATCGAATTCGGGCCTCCAAAACACGCCGTCTCACTACTCATACCGCGCAACACCACGGCCGAGATGGGATACATAAGGGTCAAGCAGCTTGAAAGGCTGAACGAGTACAAGTACTCAAGTGAGTATGCCACCGAAATCGCGCGACTTCACGAGCTCGGTCGGCATCATCGCTGACGCCATGTGCAGGCGTCGACAGAAGTCTGATCTCGCAATATCTGCTGAAGCCATACTGGTGGAGCCAGGTCATCAAGCTGTTTCCGCCGTCCATGGTCAGTCGAGCATGCACGCGTACGGCCAAGCCCGAGAGCATTGCTAATCCATCGGGAGCAAACAGGCGCCCAACGCAATAACTCTGAGCGGATTCGGCTTTGTGATTGCCAACATCCTGACAATGCTCTACTACACCCCCACCTTGGACCAGGACTGCCCCTCTTGGGTCTATCTGTCGTGGTCCATCGGGCTCTTCCTGTATCAGAACTTTGACGCCATCGATGGCACCCAGGCACGTCGAACACGCCCAAGCGGTCCTTTGGGCGAGCTCTTCGACCATGGCGTTGACGCGTTGAACACAAGTCTGGAGGTGCTCCTTTTCGCCGCAGCCATGCAATTTGGTCAGGGTTGGAGGACGGTGCTGGTGCTCTTCGCTTGTATGTCCATGTTCAGGGTCCCCTTCGGAATTTCGCTGACCTTCGTAGGTCTTCTTACCTTTTACGTACAGACGTGGGATGAATATCACACCAAAGTACGCACCTGCATGCGATCGCTCTTTCAACGAGGCTAATGTGATGCCAGACCTTGACTCTCGGCCTTGTGTCGGGCCCGGTGGAGGGCATACTGACCTTGTGCGTTGTGTACGCGATCACGGCATACACGTATGTTTCTGCGTGACAATACCATGATGAGTATCAAAGACATACTGACAGAAAAGCTGTAGTGGTGGTAGCTATTGGCAACAGCCAATGCTCCAAGCCCTTGGCGCACCTCATCTGAGCTTCCTGCCTGATCTCCTCTACGAAATGGACTTTGGCGATTTCTACATGGTATACGGTGGCCTGGTCCTTGTGTTCACGACTTTCGAGAGCTCGTGCAACGTCATGCGAGCAAGACGAGAGCGCGGTGAACAAGCTCGCGAGGCCTTACTCGGTCTATTGCCTTTCTTCGGATCATGGGCACTGATCGCTTCCTACCTTGCGCTTCAGCCAAACATTCTCCACAACCATCTGATTCCATTCGTGCTGTACGTCGGACTCATCAACGCCTACTCAGTGGGCCAGATGATAACTGCACATCTTACCAAGTCTCCCTTCCCGTACCAAAATATTTTGGCCTTGCCTCTGATTTACGGTATTTTGGATTCACTCGGAGAGGTCCTGCTGGAGAAACTCGGCCTTGGCTGGTATAGCTCCCTTGGCGACGGCGTCTATCAGGTTGCATTCGTGTTTACCTGCTTAGGACTTGCGGTCGGTGTCTATGGCAGCTTCGTTGTGGACGTCATAGTCTCCATTTGCGACACACTGGACATCTGGTGCCTCACGATCAAGCACCCATACACCGCAGAGACAGAATCGACGGACTCGAAGACAGTCGACACCAAAAAGGCTGCCTAAGGTCGTTATTTCCAAGGCACACGACCACATACTGTTTCGGGCAGCACGCTTGACTGCTTATGGCGAAAACAACCAGCTGCGTTGCGTGCGCTGACGGACAGCCAATGGGAGCACGCGTGCCTGAATATCCTGGCTGCTTGCGTCAACTCGCGTCCCTGCGCCCAGTCCATCACTGCATGGGAGCGCACAGGACCGCATTAATGCACTGCTCTCTTGGGCTCACTGATAAGAATCAACATGGCTGCACTTGCGTGCCATTCTTACACGCCTCCTGAAGACCTGTGACTGCGATCGGAATCGCTGAAATGATCGTTCTGGACACCTCGACAGCTGCTGCTGCAATCCTTGATCCGGAGCATCTGAGTAGTCTACATAGAAGAGAGAAAAAATACCGACAGGAAGATACAATGGCAAGTCTCTCACCGTGCCTGAAGATCTACTCTCTTTTCACGAACGGAGTGATGAGATACACGCGACAGCTACTAATTGCTAGTCCAGCTCGAAACGTTCTGGCTGGTCATGCGGTCAATGCGGGACGTAATATTCTCCCAGCGGCCCACCGAGACCAAGTTACAGATCCCGCCCGGTGTGCCAGATGGCTACGGAGATAAGCCGAATAATCTTGCTCCTTCTTCTCACCTAGAAAGATAAGCTCATCACCGTCAGACTCTATGACGGGCCCGAGCTTGCGCCTTCAACCTAGCATACTGGTATTTCAACAAGATGCAGGACAAGCCCGACAGCTGCGAGCACGCTACACAGCTACTTCGACCCTCCTCGGCAACCTGTGGTACGGAGATATGGCTGAAGCAACACGATTTGCTCCTGGAGATCCAGAGAATCAGCGGGGCGTTGGTCCTAAATTCGAGACTGCGCTTGATACTCAGACGTTGATGGGTCTACAACAAGGGCGGCGTGTTCGGTCCCCAGAAGGGCGTGACGTGACGTACGACAAATTCGTGGTGTTCCTGCGAGAATTGATCAGCAACCGCAGCGAGACCTTGGGATCCGGTGACGGGCTTGGGAAGTCCACGGTTTCAGGCTCTTCGCAGCGCTCTAGACGAGAGGACTGATGTTTAGACGAACGGCCGTAATTCGCATTACCATAGCATGACTATCAGCTCAAACGATGAGCGCAAACCTTGGCATCCACGCTCGGATTTCTACATCCAACCGCGTCATTCAATCTCAATGTGTCCACCCAGGAAACCTCGTGTTGTCACAAATCGGACCATGCAATGCTAGTATCATCTCATTCACACATTGAAATCGCGCCCGCGTGCTCCAAAGGATCCCTGAATCTGCGTTTCTGGTTTCAAATTGCCACTTCCCTAGAGCTCGAGCTCATCGTCCATGCTATGCCTCGCCGAACTCCTTGCTAATCCCATCATCATAAAAGCACACTATTCACAATCGTCAACTTTCCACCGAGAGCACTTGATGTCTCAGTTGAACTTCCCACCATACGTCGAACCCCATTCTTCCACGACCGAATCTCCGCCTCGCAGGTGCCCTTCCTTGTGCTCATCGATATCGCACTTGAAGAGATTTACATGCCCATCATTTACAGCGCCACACGCCAACATCATGCGATGAGGATGGAAAGCCATGGCAGTGATGGGTGCATTGCGCTGTGAGCCTCCCGAGAGTCCGACTCTCAAGTAGGACATGTATGGCTCAAACTTGCTCAGCAGCTGGAGCTTTGTATTGTAGACACGGATTGTATGATCCTTGCCTCCAGTTGCAAAGACTGGAGCATGTTCGTGAACGGAGAGCGCGCGTAACATTCTAGGCTCGCGTGTCCGTGGTGCAGGATCGTGGGCAGCGACGGACTTCGTCATCCTCAGATCCCAGAGACGAAGTCCTCCATTCGATTCAGCAGAGATCAATTCCCGGGCCCCACCGCGTTGAAGATGTACACCGACGATCCAAGAACTATGTTCTTTCCACCCCAAAACCATGGTTTCGGCTCCAGGTTTTCGTTGATCGTAGGCCTTGACACTGCCATTGCCGAATCCGGCGACGAACACATTGCCCTCCACTTGATCTGAAGTCAAGGAAGTGATGCATGCTGAAGATCGGGTGTGAATGTCGTTGACGCAAAGCTCTTGACCAACCTGCCACACACGCACAACCCTGTCATCTCCAGCGACCAGAGCTTTACCCTGCCCCTGTTGCCAATCGAAGACGAGCCCAGATCCACCGCGATCGGAAGGAACAAGATCATTTAGTGCGCGGAAGGAGCTGACCTGTGAGATCTTGTTCGGATCATCGTAGTCGCGATAAATCTTGACGACTCCATCGCTCGAGCCGGTCATTAGCATGGCCATATCATCTTCGTTGATGAACTGCAACTCTGTGACTCGACTGCCCTTCGGATTGCCGTTGCTGAATCGGACGAGTTGTCTTGCATCTTTCCAGTCCCATACTGCAATACTGTCTCGATCGTCTGAGGTGACAAGGTGATTCTCGAATTGATGGAACACCATCTTTACAGGTGCTGCGCCAATACCGAAGTATCCACAAGGCTTGTCCCAGCCTTGCGACCCAGCGGCTTCTTTGAGAGGCTGCGTCGAGGCAATGATCTTGTCGTTGCGATTCCGGCGCCATAAGCGCTCGTTGTAGTCCTTCGAACCAGGCTCGTCTGCTTCAGACGGTCGCATCTGCGGCTCGCGGAAGTAAGATGCTGACCAGTCAAAGAATGTGGACTTGAGCGGCATTTGAGGCACATGTGACTTGTCTCTGTCCTGAAAATATGGTGTAGGTGGAATCATGGCTCGCGGTTGATGTGGAGGTCCCTGGACATTATCCAATGCATCCGGAGGGAGGAGAGCTGCGTCTGCCGGCGTGAGTGGTCGCGAGCGGTATGGTAACGTATGTGCGCTCATCGCTGAACCTCGTCGAGCATGTGTTGGTGAGCCTGGGGTGCTGGGTACCTCAGCAGGCGTTTTCCAGCCAACCATGTTCTTCAGGGCAGCGGCTACACTTGCTGTCCGTGATAGAGCAAAGTAGCTATCGGCTTTGGAAGATATTGAAGCCGCTGATGGGCTCGGCGGCGTTTCCGGTCTCGAGTCTCGCACGGATCTCGATTGCTTTAGAGACTCAATACCAGGTGTCGTGACAATCGGGTCCAGCACTGGTCTGGTCTTCTCCAATTGATCCAGGATCGCTTCCGCATGAGGCGCGAAGGGGCTTTCGAGCAGCGAATTGAGAAGGTAATCAACCACGGCACCAGCATTACGTGCAACCTCCGGATGTGGGTCTGTAGAAAGACTCATCACTTGCCTCCACACCGCGCGATACACGGTGCCTAACGACAGCTCTGCCCTTCTCGGCTTCTGCATGGGCCGTGCTCTGTCATCCTCGGCGACCGTAGCAGAGACGCTTCTTTGGTGAGCAGCTCGCACGCCGTTCAGAGACAGGTTGCCGTTCGAGCCAGCCGAATCAAAAGCACTCTCTTCCTGCATGGCGAGGAAATCATCGGCAACTTGCTCTTTTCCATCCTTCTTGTCCAATTCCTCCTGAAGCTGTTCAAAGGCTGCGCAGTGGAATCGATTCTGATACTTCTTCACATATTCTGAGTAGAAGACTGTAAGCTCTTTCCGGACCATGACCGATCCATCCATTCCCATGGAGATGATGATTCCCACCAGTGTCTCTTCTATTTCAATAATGGCCGGATTAACGTCACCAGTAGCGACGAAGCTAGTTAGTACATTGAGACAAGCCGTCCGAACTTCGGGGACTGGGTCGTGGCTTCGATCACATATTCGATCGTGGGCACCGAGCTCCAGAAAAGCCTGCTTTGCAGCAGGGAAGTCGCGGCACAGATTGCTCAAGCAGAGGAGACTGAATTGTCGAAGTAAAGGATTCTCCATGTCAAGCAAGTGGGCGAGACACTGATCGATGATCTCGGGATTGCTGTCGAGACACGCAGCCTTGCCTTGCTTGAAGTCCTTGCAGAACATGGCGATGACAAAGACACACATCGCTCGATGTTCTGCGATGTTTCCGAGAGGTATTCCACTCGTCTGGACCAATATGTTGGTGAAGTATGAGTAGCCCTGATCTTTGAGCAGATCAGACTGACATGATTGATCAACAGCCAGGATCCGGGCCCAAATGAACACCATAGGTGCCTTGAGCTCTGTCGCCTGTGATTGAAGAAGTTTGAGGACGTAGGGAAATATGCCAATGCTGAGCGCCAGATTTACAGCCCACGGACCTAGATCGAGGAATTTGGAGAGCAATACCAAAGCACGCAGCCGATGAATTTGAGAGAGCAGGACTTGTAACACGATTGGGAGTTGCTCCGGTGGCTTCGCATATCCTGCAGAGCCGGGGTTGCTAGGCGCAGCGTTCAAGTATATTTCGAAGGCAGTGAGCTGATCCGAGAAGAAGGTTGAGTGCTCATATTCGAGCTCCGGCGTCTGCTGCGGTTGGCCGTTCGGACCATTTGGTTGCGTCTCGGTTGCGGCTTCCTGGGCTTTCTGCTGCTCGATCAGGCCTGGCAATTGGGCCAAGATCATTTCCACCGCCAGATCCCAACTCTTCCAAAGTGGATGATCGTGAGTTGCTGGTATTGCAGGATATGACTGTGGATGGCAATGAAACATGCGCATTACTCGTTGTGCGAGGAGAAAGTTGCGAAAGAGGGCTGCGACCATCAGATCTTGCCTAAAGAGCTTCTTAAACAACGGTTTTTCGAGGCAGTTCCATGCGATCGTGTCAGTAATGGCAGTGAATATCCAGTTCAGCTCACCCAGCGGCGTCCTACGCTCGCTGACTTTGCCGGGTATGTTTCGTGCCTGGTCAAGTGTGACAAATGTTGTTCTGAGAGGGTTCTGAAGAATGAAATAACGCACTGCCATCATGATGGGCGTAGTGAGGCATGAAGTAAAGAGGTCGGCGGGCAGCTCCGGGTTGGTGGGAAGAGTTTCGTTCTCGCGACAGGCGGCAAGGTGAATGCAATCCTCCCACCTAACGAGGGGTTGTTGTTGGGACCGGTTTGGATCTCGCCTCAAGACGTCCTGTTGGTTCGTGCTGTGCTTTTGCGCGGCGTCAAGAAAGCCTTGAATGATGCCGCCCGCCGCGCTACAGTCCCAGACCCAGAGTCCCGGGGCGCCGACCCACTCCTGTAGATCGTACAGACTGATCGGGATGTATTGAGTATAGCTTCTATTAAAGCACCACACCTCTCCGCTCTGCGTCGGCTTCGGTACTCCGTGGCCGTTGTAGTGGAACAAGATACGCTCTGCGTGTGCTGTCCTGCGAAGCGATGTCGTGTACTTCTTGAGCTCCTCGATGGTCGGATCCAGAATGACTTTATATCGCGTCCTCAGCGATAGATTCTCATACTGGGACTGGAGGTTCTTGCCAATCTGCGCATTGGTGTTGTTGGAGTTCTGGTTCGAACTGTCGGGCGGAACAGGATCGACCCAGCACTCCAAACGCGCACAAGGGTTGGTCTTGATCACGTCTGGCGGATCGACACCCACGTTCAGACACACAGCGAGCAGAGCAGACGCCGTCTTAAGGCGGTCCTTCATGCGCCATTCCGTCACAAGGTTCTTGGGGTCAAAATCGGGAGGCAGATTGCCCGCAGTCTCGTGCCGCTTGTCCTCGTAGTACATGAAGAAATTCTCGCTGAGGTTCTTCGCGGCCTCCTCGTTCTGCAGCTGGGCCTCCCAGCCATGTCGCATGATGTCTTCCTCGCCATCGCCGGCCTTGCCATTCATCTGCTTCGGCTTTGCGCGCCGCCCAAACTCGCTTTGAGCACGCGACACCGCCGGACGCTGCGCCTGCCTGCTGCGCCCATGTGGCGCCTGAAGCTGCAGGCCCTCATCCTCCTCCGAGTCGCTCTCCGCCGCGTACTGGCCATTGGGCTGCGACTTGGCAGAATTCGACGAGCTTTGCGGGCGGTAGAGCGCGACGGGCGGAGCAGACTTGCTGCTGCCGATGCTGTGCTGCGACTGCGCGCGCTGCTGTTTCTGTTTCTGCTGCTGCTGCGGCTGTTGCGACGAGTCCTCGCGTGGCTCTACGCTGATGTTGTGCGGTTGCGCCGACTTGGATGGCTGACCATACACCTCGGACGGCAAGAGGCCGTCATTGGCGCTCCGTGTCATGGTCTGCCTGAGCGACTGCGCCTGTGATGCGGCATGGAGGCTGCCGTTGTGCGCGGAGCTGGGTCGAGTCGCGATGTGCACTGCGTGTGCCGATGTTCTGCGCGCATTATTCTAGGTGAGTAGCTGACCTCTACTCCGTAGCTCATCGCGGGTGGGCGGTCATCAGTCATCAGCGGACCCTGAAGAACACGAACACGATGCTTTGCAGATCTTGGCGCATAGAATACATATCAGCCCTGGCAGCTTGACCGGTGCGTATGCGCAGGATATATTCAGCAACGGGTAGGCTATATTCAAGGCGATGGGCAAGCTCCTCCATTGCTCATCGGAAAATGGAGGCCTCCGAGCATTCAATCTCTGCATCACCAACATTCCAGTCCGCCGATGGACACAGAACACGACCAAGAGGGTAAGTTGGCGGCCACGGTGGTACTGGTGGCATGGCCGGTAGTACACATGGTCTCTCCAACCGGAGGCACCATCCTCGTCCTCGTCTCCGTGCATGCTAACCTATTCTAATCCAAACTTCTCCTCGAGGAACTGCTTGACTTGCTCATTGCCACCTTTGCCCACGTTCTCACCCAACGACATCACCTTCAGTCCAGCCAAGCTTCTCGCTCTGCTCAACGCTACATACTCCTGTCCCTCTTCGAAGCTCTTTCCAAGATCCACAATCACTTTATTCAAAGTCATGCCTTGGCTTTTGTGAATGGTCATGGCCCAAGCCGCGATCAGTGGTATCTGTGTCCGGGCAAGAAGTGTGTATGGCTTCTCGTCACCAACTTCGTTGACTTGACAGTCAGCGTAAATAGTCCTCCGGATGTTGTTGTCGAACTGGACGATGGGCCACATCTTGTGCTCGTTGCGGCCTTGCAATATGAATTCTCGAATCTGCTCCTCTCGTAGCGTAGCATATTCACCTCGCAGCTCGCCCTGGACAATGAGAGGCTCCGCTGAGCTGTCCCGCTCCCGTCTTGATTTTTTCTTAGATCCACGATAGGAACCAAAACTTCGACTGGAGCTTTCGTCGCGATTCATGCTTGCTTTGGGCAATTTGGATTCCGAGTACGGCTCAAATCCAATAACACGACCTTGACTACCGTTGACCAGGCCGTTGGCAATATCTAGATTTATCAGCAGCACGACCAACATGCCCGCTTTATAGTCGACTTGCGTTTCGAGTCGGTGCTCACGCAAAGCTTCTAGAGAATCATCGCGAGCATGTCGCCTGCCTTTCTCCCGCAAGTTACCATGCTTCTCGTTCCACCTGAAGTAGTCTAAGCACGCATAGCCACGCTTGGCAGTACGGAGACGATCGAACTCGGTCACATTGATTCGTCTGACCTCTTCGCGAGTTGGAAACAATTTGACTGCGTTCGTAACCTCGCATGGATGGTCGAGCAGAAGTGTGCGATCTGCAGTAGTCAATGGAGTGCCAATGCGCAGCTTCTGCAGGATTCTGATAAAGACCTCGTCGCTCTGGCGATGGATGTTCGTGAGGTTGACATGTTTGAATTTGCATTCTTCCCATGTACTGCTCCGAAAAGCCCATTTATCGTCATCGTTGCAATCGCCGTGTTGTGGACAACGGTATACCGTCTTTCCGTCTGGAGAAAGGCGCCGTGGTTGCTCTCGGCCACATGTCATGCAGTATTGAAAAGGTCTGACTGGAGGTAGCTGACAGAAGTCGCCTGTGACCACTAATTGCACCCCTCCGAATGCTCGTTCGTTGTTTCTCGCTCTCTTCATAAGCGCATTGAGTCTAGCCAAGATATGATTCTCGACCATGCTGACCTCGTCAATAACAAGAACGTTAGTCGAGGTAAGTCGTTTGTGCACGAATTTACCGTGAGCTGCCTTCAGCAGATCCTCAAGCGGTCGTTTCATGTGGCCTGGCGTCCACCCGGCGTATGTCCAGGTGGTGGACCCGTTGATGTCTAAGGCTGCCTTTCCTGTGGGAGCAATAATTCTGACCGTCCTTCCTTGATCACGCAGCTGTGATACGAAGCTTTTGAGCACAGTAGATTTTCCACAGCCTGCAGACCCTGTATAGAACACATTGTAACCTGCCATAATCAAGTCGACGACCTGTTGCTGCTCCTTGCACAATGGAGGCTCCGTCCTTGCTTCCACTGATGGTGCTTGCACTGGTATTGGGGGCTGTTTTATCGATTGCTGAGCTGGTGAGCTTTGAGGCAGGTCTATAATAGCCTTGCTCTCTATTGCTGATCGAGCTGGATGGTGAGTGGCAAGTCCGTGCCCAGTTTGAATGCTTTCGTGAGCTGGTTGTGTGGTCGTGTAGGCGGGTGCAGTAGGCCGAGACTGACTGATGTTGACGCGTTCCTTCGCTCTCCGCAATGCCTCGATAGATAGCAGAGTGAGAGCTCCGTCAGACGCTTCAGGATGCTTGGTGGCGAGCTTCTCCTTCATTCGTACAAGGAGATGAAGCTCGCTAGATTTGATGCCAGCCGCTACGGCAGCGGGGTGCAAGGTAGGATCTGCTGTAATCGTCGACGTTGCTTGCTGATGAGTAAATTGTTGCTGAGAAACTCTGCGATGTTGGAAAGTATCGGCCGGCAGATTCGCCTCGTGAGACTGTGCTACACTATCCTTCACACGCTGAAATTGCGCAGCGAATGCACATGAAGCGCCATTAGACGCGACAACTTTTGAAGCCTTTGCAGGCCGTCTTGGTTTCTTGTCTGGAACGAGTTCGTCCTCATGAGCAGTGCGTTTACGAATTGCAGCAATCTTCGCTTGAATAGCGTCGACTTGGCCTTGCAAAGCGACTTCGTCCTCGGACTCTTGCTCAAGCGAGATGGTCTCAGTCTGCTTCTTTGGCTTACGGTCCTCTCGCTTGCGCTTCAGAGCGCCTGCTGCGTTTGTTGATATTTCCAACAGTGGTTCCCGAGGGGCAACGGAGACTGACTGGAGATTCCTGGGTGACGCTGAGCTCACCGGTTGCTGGACAGGCTGGCCTCCGAGGATACGATCGAGGTGAGCAATTTGCTGTTGGTTGATCTGCATGTATCTCTCTAGTGCTATTCTGTCTCCAGAATGCTGATGGTCCATACTTCCAATCTGACTCCAAACGACCATTTGCTGCTGATCCTGGATAAGCATAGCACTCCGGAATGATCTGTCCTCTGCAAGCCATTGGAGCTGCTCCTGGTAGGGTAGCGTCGGGTAAACCTGCAGAAGCCGGCATCCTTCCTCGAATCTGTCTGCGTGATCCGTAAGCCCCGAGCCAGCACATTGCCATGAAAGGCGAGAGTACATGAGATCGCGAATGGGTTCCGTGATGGCACCTTGTTGAAGCCAGTGTAGGGAGAAGGCAGAATCCTGGTACAAAACTCGACAACGTGCCGCAGTCGAAGGGCTTAGCCATTTAATGATGGTTCTCCCGTCCGGACCCAGTAGCGGAATGTTGTTGTTTTGCTGAGCTACAGCAGCAGGTTCGAGAAAGGTCGACATGACGCCTCAGTTGATCTACTGAAGGTATTCCTGGCTCGACCATTGATGCTTCGCTCGCATAATTTGTCTTCGAAGCTGTGTTGCGGCCGCTGTCTCTCAATGGTTGGCCGGGCCCCTCAACAGGGCGGAATAAAATGATTTGTGCAGATGATGAAATGACCACAAGAGCAAAGCTTAGAAAGCGGCGCTGGTCGATGCAAAATGATTTGCGCTGGGGTGAGAGGTTTGGACTCTGGAGCAGAATACAGGGCAAGCATCCATACGTAGAATCGTAGATCTCTGGGAGTCGCGAATCTCATCTCGCGTCACGTCTCGCGTCACGCGTCTTGCCGATTGCCGACTGCCGACTGCCGACTGCCGACTGCCGACTGCCGACTGCCGACTGCCGACTGCCGACTGCCGAGAAGCCGGTACTCGCTTTCGAGTAGATGCGGATGCCCGCAGAATGGAGGGCAGAAAACATCTCATGCTGATGATTGCGCAATATCAATAAAGAAGCAAAAGCTCGCCCAGTAAATGCTCATTTGCCGTCACAAACGCCAACGCCAGCGCTTGCTCTTCCTGGATCCCCCAAAATGTACACTCATCTACAAGCACATCGCTGACGCCTGCCTGCCTGGTGTTGATCATCATCTCTATTCGTAAATCATCCCTCATAACCCATAGCGTGAAGTACTGGCTGCCACTAGTAGTCCAGTCTCAGCTTTTCTACAACTCGGAGAACGCTTATACTGAAGCATAGCAACCACGCGACCAGCGAAATGACAAGTACCCCAGAAAGAGCTTTCTGCTTATAGCAGATTCCTTCATTGTTGGGACAAGTCTTCGGTATCTCGAGGGCGACGCCGCCAATGACTTGACTGCCGGTATCGTAACAGGCCCAGCTGTCGTCAAGCAAGGCCGACAAAGCTAGTGAGAGATTTGATGCCGAGAAGACGATGAAGTAAAGATCACAAAGGAGAAGCAATGTCTTTGCGGCGACGGATCGGAGTCCAAGTCTAGAAAGTCATTAGCGCAGAGACGCAGAAGGCCGAGTGTCTGACTCACGGTTTACTTGTGTACTCATCCCAGGTAATGTAAGATATGTAGGGGATAGCGACAGTACTGACAATGATTGCCATGTACGTAGAAGCCCGCGGCGCGCATTGATTGAAAGGGTCGTTATCTTTGTTGACACGCTGGACCGATTGAAAGATCGTCGAACCGAGACCAAGCGCAGCACAGCAAAACGCTAGAACAGTCAAACGGATGACCAACGGGACAAAAGCGTTCTTGAGCAACAATCTCCAGAATGCTTCCACGCTCTTCTGTTGTCGTTCTGGACTGATGATCCACTGACCTCGATACATGATGCCTTTGAACCCTTTCAATCTGTTCGAGCCCATCGGGTCCAGATCATCTTCCTCTTCCCACTCGCGTTTGACGATGGGCACGTTCTCTTCCATCCACTCCCGACTCATGATCACGCCTTGATTGCGCGCCTCGCGCGGATTCGGCCCAGACTGCATGAAGGGTATCCATCGTGTCTGGTGCACATCGATAGGCATGGATAGGAGCGGCGGCTCGGCATCGCGATAGCTGTCCAACTTGCGCCCGGGCGAGTACTTTGTAGGTGGAGGTTTGTAGTGACGAGTGTTTGGCACTACCGGCGCAGGCTGTATGAACGGCGCCTTTTCATCGTTCTCGTTGATGTGGACCCAAGGAGGAATCGAGTTAGGGTCATTGTTGCCGGAGTGCTCATCGCGCTTTTCCAAAGCCGTCGCGTGTTGTTGCATCTCCTTCTACGCCCACCGTAAATCACAACACCTCCACCACACCGGCGCAGTAGATGCGGGAGGATAGTGTTCTCGTAATAATAAGACGAGGTCCAAGAGATTGGAGTGGATCAAGGCTTCCATGTACCGCTGATGCTTTCTCCACACTTTATTAGATCACGATGGCGCTAATTCTCCGAATTTGATGCGCTCCAGAAACCTGCTGCATTAACCAGCCTCCCGCCTTGAGGCAGCACATGACTTCAATCAGACCGGAAGCTGAGCTCGCGTCATGTGTGATGAGATTGAGTACTTGCAGTAAGTTCATTTCAAAGTCAGATTCAGGAAGGCAGATCCGATCTCGAAGTAAAGCGTTTTTGTGACCATGGATCTAGCCTGCTACAGAGGCTCAATACAATTAATCAGAAGCTCCAGTAAAGGCTGATAGCGTAGCATGCAGTACCATCTGGCTGGCATTCGAGGAATTCGCCGCGATGCGTGACTATGTCAAACAGCGGTTGGCACGTCGCAGACAGTAGTTCGGTCTTAACAATCGAGCTCAGAGAGCTCGCTTTGCTATTCAAGACGGCACTCCTTGAAAGAGATAGAGGGATGTAGGCGCTTGTTCACTGCCGTCAATTCCCCGTACCAGGCTGTCGTTGCTCCGTCAGAGCAGCTTCAAGCATTGAAATGACAGACGGGGAGGATTGCGACTGGTCTTTTGAATACTTTGCAGTGTTGTATCTACTTCATACACTCGTAGGATCGTTCAATCATTCATTCATTCATCATCGCTGCTACTCGCAGCGGCATCGGCTTGCCGAGCTCTTTCCAAATGCTTGCGCCACTCCTTCGCAAACTCCATAAGGCCCTCGCCATTTTGAGATGCTTCAACCACGTCCTTCGGCATCTTGTGGGCTGAGTACTGCGGAGTTGCAAACTGAGCCTCTGGGTCGCCTTGATGTACCAGTCGAAGTTCGGGCAGAAAGAGCTCTTCATCAGCATCATCATCGTCTTCGGAATCTGTGGCCTCTTCGCCGTCCTCGAGCTGGCCAACATCTTCTTCGGTGCGTTGCAATGCAGCCCAAGCTTCTGGATTGCTCTCTCGAAGATGGTCCAGCATCTGTCTCGTCTTGGCGGGGTCGATTGAAAATCGCACGAACTCCTCCTGCATTGGTGGCTCGACCGGTTCGTCCATTTCGAGTAACTCCTCCCAGCTGAAGAGAATTGGATCGGTGCGGAGTGCCCAGGGGTTGATGTCGACCAGCCACGCTTTCTCATATGGTTGCGGAATATAGCAGTCGAATACGAAGCTCTTGTCTGGGAAGGTATCGCGCAGTCTCACCTCGAAGAACTCGTTGATGACAGTCTGAATTCGATCCTGCATCTTGAACAGAAAGTCGTAATAGTTGAGGTCGCGCTGGCTGATGCAAAGCAATTTACGGTTGCGAACGAAACACCGAAACTCGAGGCTGGGGACCCAGGATGGGAATGACTTTCGTAAGGCGAGATGGTAGGCGATGTTATCGGTCGTCATATCCTCTTCGTCACTCGATTCTGAGACGCAATCATCGAACGCGTGCTCGAGATCGTGAGTGATGAAGTCTGAACTCTTCAGAAGTAGATAGATGTCGGATGGCTTTTTGCATTCCATTGTGTTTGCGTTCATGAAGGTCGCATCCTTTGGCGCTGACCAATTGAGCTTGGGAATGACCTTTCCTCCAAGTTCTGCAATTGTGGCTCTAATGGCCTGGTGTACTTGTCGCCATTCTGCAGCGACGTCTTCCTGCTCCTCCTCCTCCTCCTCATCATCATCGTGCGTCGATGACGAGATATACGCACTGTCATTGTCAGATAATGTAGGTGGGTCTTCGTCGTCTGGAAGGACTATCGCATCTGCGCGGAGGTAGTCGACGAACGGCTTCGTGAGTGGAATGACTCTTGACTTGGGGGTGATCGCCCTATACTTCGGGAACCAGGATGAGTACGCGCAATTGAGGATATGTGATTTGGTGACGGGCGGAAATGGGAGTGCTGGTTCCGTGTTGGGCGTCGCCGCATCTCCGTTAAGAAGGGCAGGCATGTTGTCTTCTTCGTGGTCATTCGACATTATTCGAAGTGTTGGTAGTTTTCCAGAAGTCGAACACGCTAGACTTTCGATGATGACTCAAGCTCGCGCTAGCTCACACTCACATGCTTGCTGCATGGATGTCTTCTGCAGCGGCTAGGGCTGAGCCGAAGCTCCACCTACGATCTCAGAATAGATCTACCCTCCATTCTCACATTGCCAACTCAACGATCATAAATCGACACAGAAATGTCTTCTAACGTTGGCTTGAGCACTCCTCGAGGTTCCGGGACAAGTGGCTATGTACAACGGAATTCTGCAAATTTAAGACCGCGCGATCAACCGTATCCATCGAAAGACACCGTAGATTCGGCGAGGTACAAGCAGCGTCAACCGGACAAGGAAATCCTAGAGCATGATCGGAAGCGAGAGATTGAGGTGAAGGTGTTTGAGCTACGCGACAAGCTGGAAGATGAGGGGTGGGTTCAGGACGATTTTCGCATCGAGTACACAAGTCACTGATGAACCTGGCAGTGTGGACGAAGACGACATTGACGACCAATGCGATGCGCTGCGCAAGAAGCTCGAGAGAGAGCCGGCCTCAAGGCCAAGAGGTGGTAATGCGCGCGGTCTGAAGCAGCATCAAGTTCACGAGATCGCGAAGGCAAAGATTGAGGAAAGTGAGAGATTACGCAAAGCATTTGGCATATCCAAAGACTACGAGGAAGGCAGTCATTGGCGCAAGCAAGAGGAAAAGCGGGTGGAAGCAGAGAGGGAGCGAGCAAAGGGCGACGAGCGCGATCGTGACTGACGCACCACTCTGAATGCAACGATCATATTGATTGAGATGGGAGGACACGCGGATGCGTTGAGTTTGCTTCGACGATCTGGGCTGCGCAGTCCTATCATGCGCTGCTGACGGGTGCATGAAGCAGGCCGGCTATTGCATGTGCCTCTGTGCTTGGAACGCGAGCCAGAAGGCTACGAGGTCCGCATGTGAGACGAATGGAGCAGTACTACCACATGTTGATTGTTTGGTGAGGCATTTCCACATTGACGGGCGCTGATCTGATCTGCGCACTGACATCCTTCGTCGACCAGCCGATGTTGTGCGGGCGTTTGCAACTTCAGCTCCTTCCCGATCCAGCATTGTTACCGTGGAAGGCACGAAGCAAATTTCTCGCTCCTGCCTTCTCTGCCTTACGCGGCCCCTCGCCTGTGCTGCCTCCATTCTTGATTCTTGGCCTCAACACTTCCAATCTGCTCTTTCAGAATCGCTACGCAACATCCTCATCATGGCTGCAGCCACCGTATTTGCACTTCCGGAGCTCTTGGAAAACATCATCCTTTCTCTTCCTTTGCGCAGCATCCTCGCAGCGAAGCAGGTCAACAAGGCTTTCTGTGACACTATCGAAACTTCCATCTGGATACGTCGCGCGCTTTTTCTGGAGCCCGCAACGGACGGCAGAGCAGCTTGGCGTCGCCAGAGAGCCTGTGGTGACAAAAGCGGCCCTGTCCATTGTTGGGCAGACCAGAATGGTCAAAGGGTCACACCTATCCTGAATCCATTCATTGCAGTGTGAGTATTCCAGGCCTTCTACTGGTCTTCCGTTTGCTCACGCTGTCGATAGCATGTACGATGAAGAGTTCGACGAGCTGTATTGCAAACAGTGGTAAGTGTGCCAACAGACTCGAGCCATGAGTGGGCTTGCCTGAATCTCGAGCGTGTGAATCCCGATAGCATCGTCGTTCCCTTCGCCGCAGTCCGAACCTTTGCTAAGCAATGTACCCACTGCCTCCAGGTATTACGAGAAAGAAAATGGACTGTATTTGGGTCTCAATGAGATCTTCGCACTGAGAATGAGCGAGCAACAAGAACGTACCCTCCACTTCGAGTCAGACTACGACGATAAGAGCGATCTGCTCAGCAAGCTGCAAGAATCCACATCGTCCTTCAAGCGAATGATGATCACGAGCCCGTCGGTCATCGAATTGAATATCGATGATGGAATGGTCGAGTCTCAGTCTGACAGTGGTTTCACCATCGATGATTTACTCGATTCCGTCCTCGCCTTGAGCGGCGTAGACGAAAATGAGAACGACTTCGAAATTGAGGGTGGCGAGGCATGCCGTGTCCTGGCCAAGACTGTGGATGAAATCACTGGTAAGCGCGTTGATGGAGCGATCTAGCTCACCAGGAAAGGGCATAGCTGATGAAGTCGATAGGCTGGGAGATGCTCCGTATCTTTCTGCTCGATGAGTCGCAACTCGATCACGAAGGTGTCCTCTTGGACGACTAGCTCGAACTTTCTGCCCTGGATAAAGGACGACTGCGAACGACGGACAGTGGCGATCAGAAGAGGTAGTGTTTGGCTGAAACTATCGCAGGATATAGTTGAGGTTGGGAGTTGTTGAGTGGCGCAAGACCTTTGTTTCTCTAGGAGACTGGACTTGAATGGGTGGCATAGGAAAAGACCTCATCGCGTCTTCTTGATATAGTCGGATTGCCTAATACATGTTTGCCGCCTTCAGATGCCGACATCCCAGCCATCCATCTCGGCCTGCGGACGAGCAGTCGCCGAAAGACAAGATTCGAGGATTCAATGGCCGCGTGCCGGTGCAAAGCGGCCAACGATATGCAGTCGATTAGTTCCGCCGTAGATAGACCCAACAGTGTGAGCGCTGACCTCCAGTGCCCATGACATACTTTGCTTAAATTATCTCACTATAGCTTTTTGCAAGCATCCTTAACAAAAGCCTGGATAGAACGCTTACCACCAAATCCACCATCACTGGCCGAGCGATATGGCCAAGACGTTCACATTCCATGAAGTCCAACAGCACAAGTCGAAAGAGTCTTGCTGGGTGATTCTATACGGCAATGTCTACGATGTCACGTCCTTCCTCCCAGACCATCCAGGTGGCAGTAAGGTCATTCTCCAGCTCGCCGGAGCAGACGCTACAGAAGAATACGATCCAATACATCCCCCGGGCACCCTAGAAGGTGCCCTTCCCCAATCTGCTAAGCTGGGCAAGATCGATGAGGCTACATTGCCTGCAGAAGAGAAGGCACCGGTAGAAGATGGAGCAGCTGCCGAACAATACATTCCCACCCTCGACGAATGTCTAAACCTCGACGATATTGAAGATCTCGCAACGAAGAAGATCAGTAGGAAAGCTTGGGGATACTACTACTCTGCTGGAGATGATTTATACAGCAAGACCTTCAACAACACAGTCTACCGCGACATCCTTCTTCGACCTAGGATATTCGTCGACTGTACAAATTGCGATACCTCGACCACGATTCTCGGGAATAAGGTCTCTGTACCATTCTTCGTGTCTCCTGCGGCAATGGCGAGATTGGGACATTCAGATGGTGAGCGCGGTATCGCAAGAGCAGCAGCGAAATTTGGAGCAGCACAGATCATCTCGAACAATGCTAGCCAGACGCCAGAGCAGATCATAGAAGGCGCTGCACCAGACCAGGTCTTTGGCTGGCAGCTTTATGTTCAGACAGAGAGGAAGAAGAGCGAGGACATGATTGCACGAATACACAAGCTACCGCAAGTCAAATTTATATGTCTAACATTGGACGCGCCCGTGCCTGGGAAGCGAGAGCACGATGAAAGAGTGAAGAACGTGGGTTCAAATCTGCCCGTGAGAAGTGGAGTACAATCCGGTTCCGCGAGCAAGCCCACGGAGTCTTCAGCGCCCGAAAGCGATGCAGAGGGTATCTCAATTGGTGGAGATGGAGGTGTAGGCAAAGCACTTTTTGCGGGTACAGCACCTGATCTTACTTGGAAGACTACACTACCTTGGCTGGCGCAACATACGAAGCTTCCGATAATTCTCAAGGGATTGCAGACGCATGAAGATGCATACCTTGCTTCCCTCCATGCACCGCAAGTCGCAGGTATCATTCTTTCGAATCACGGTGGACGTGCTCTGGACACCGCACCGCCGGCGATTCATACTCTGCTTGAGATTAAGAAGTATTGTCCAGAAGTTCTTGACAAGATTGAGGTGTATGTCGATGGTGGTATTAAGAGAGGAACGGATGTCGTCAAAGCTCTCGCATTGGGCGCGAAGGCTGTTGGGCTGGGTCGAGCACCACTCTTCGGAAACGGAGCTGGTGGACAAGCTGGAGTAGAACGTGTCTTTGAAATCTTGAAGGCAGAGACCGAGACGGCAATGCGATTGCTGGGTGTGGAGAAGGTGGAGCAATTGGGACCACAATACGTGAATGCCAGAGCTGTTGAGAGAGATATTTTCGACGGTGCTGCTGGGTTGGAAGGTTTGTATAGAGAATATGCTGTGAAGAGCAAACTGTAGATATAGAGCTTTTTGTCTAGCATGATGATTTTTGTGGACTTAGCGAGCACTATTTGAGACCTACAGATCCTGCTTCGGCATCTCTTGTTCTGTTGGCCCCCGGAGCGACGTTCACGTCACCACATCCTTCAGGTGAGATCGTATCCTGCCTGCCCCTTCGATTCTGTGTTTTGCCGAAGATGGTGGCTCTATTCTAAAGCTCGATACTTGCGCTTACTAAGGCCAGTATTCTCGGGCTGGGCAGCTCAATTCGCAGATTGCCATAGTCCAGGTAGTTCGTGCGCTGCAGCATTGTGGCTTCTTTGATGTCCTGTTGCGTGAATATTTCAGCCAGGGCTACTTCCATTCTCATCAGCACCGTTCGTCATGCCTGGCAGATATGCGTTGCTCTGGCATCCAGGGCAGTTGTGGGCCACCTCGTGGCAGAAGACATCGCAGTCGATGCAGAAATGGTTCTGACATGTCCGACACTCATACCTGCTTGACTCCGATGCTCCCTCAGCTCTCTTCGGGCGGGTTCTTGTATGGCTGGCACCATTAGTCTCATCTGTCGAGCTCCAGAGAGAAGGAAAGGCAGAGTGACACCCATAGCAAGCGATGCTGCCTTTCTCTTGTGCACGCTCCCAGGACACTTCGTCCCAGTTCTGGAGGGGGAAGAGATGGTGATATGATCGGGCCAAGTGTGTCGAAAGGATCAACGTGAGATCGCAAGTTGGGCAAGTCGCAGGTAAGTTGCAAACTTTCGCCTTGCACCTACTGCATAGATAGCCTCCTCGAGTCAGGTTGCCATGACAAGCACATAGCGTGGCCTTTCCTTCGACGATTCGCGAAGGGAACCCCATCATAAGCAAAGCAGCTTGGTTTCGTTTCTGAGCCTCCGTGTCTGTGGCTCGTACGACTGGTGGCGTTGTGATACCCATGAAAAGCTCCCGATAATGCACTTCATCAACTGCAACATTGTAGCAGTTGGTAGCGCCTTGATTAGTCTTCCGCGCGATTTCTGCACATATCTGCATCTGTGCAGCAAGACCGATAATATTAACTCGGATCTTGTCCTTGATGCATGCTTTGATAGTGTCGTGTATGTCTCCCGGGTCTGAACTTGATAATGCTCCCAGAATTATGACAACTTCTCGAGTGCCATGTGAAGGCGTATGGTAGAGCGCAGCGCGTGCCATGTCAAGAGCATTCTGCAGAGAAGCGCTCCCCTTAGGATCGGTGCCGCGCAGTGCTCGTACGGCCGCGATGTGAACGTTTGGGTTGCCGGACATGTCGCTGACGCGAAGTGCTACGCCGTCCCTCATGCCTAGAATACCAAGCTGTGAAATGGGATTTTGCTCGAAGTATTCGCGTATGAATGCCACAGTATTCGAGATTGTTAGTAAATGTCTCGTCGGCCGGAGATCCTTCTCCGCCATGGCCGCAGACAGATCTATGATCAGTAAAGTATGTCGAATGATGCCGCGCTGCAGAGGAGTTGTATCTTTGAGAAGCCTACCTTTCGTTTAGAGCCTGATCCTCAGCAGAAATGCCGCTACGGCCTACCTTTTGCGCTTGCCGGCTTCTTCAATACCGCCGAGTACATCTTCAATACCGCCGTCTGCTGATTCCTGCAGCTCCCATCCGCGGTTCACTCCGGACTCCCATGTTGCTTGTGCTCTATCCTTGGGCCTGGAGGTCATGGCGCGACTTTTGCCTTTCCCAGAACGCCCAGCGCCATTCGTCGGGACGTCATCGTCAGAGCCAGCATCGTATTCTGGATCTGATTCGGCCATCCTGAGGCCCCCGAGTGCAGTATGGAAGAGCGTCCACTAGCGGAAGTGAAGCGTTAAGGGCTCCTTCTGATCATGACCGGGTCTCGAGTCATGAGCACTTGAAGATCAGATTCTCTCGCCTCGCGTATCGTTCTGTCCTTCAGGGTCCGGCACTATGGGCTGTCATTGGCTCGGTAGATCGAGTGTGGTGTCGAGGACGCTGTGGTATAGTGGCAACGGCTGTTGATGTCGTTATTATTGGCAGACGAAGATGGCTGGCGCACGTGACAACAGCCAGGTTGACGCCCCGGGACCGCGCTAGCAGATTGGCTGCACTAAGACAGTACTCCTTTGAGCCCTTTGACGCCAGCACACCCTGCGGCCACAATCCACGCGCTCCTCTTCGCTGTGACCAACATCCTGCGACCGTCGCCGCACGCAAATTCAGCATTCACGCAGTCGCCGCTCCTCTATCCTGTTCGACCGACACCCTTCAACGCTGCGCGCAAATCGCACGGTCCCCCGCTATCTCTCGCACCCGCACCCCTCCACCGACTCTATCGTAATTCACATCGAAAAGAGCAGCAATGGCCAACGACGAGTACGACTTCCTGTTCAAGGTGGTCTTGATCGGAGACAGTGGCGTCGGAAAATCCAACCTCCTCTCGAGGTAAGAAATCCAATATCGGCGCACACATGGTCTATGTCAGGATGCTCGCTGACCTCGCATCGCACGAATAAAGATTCACGCGCAATGAGTTCAACCTGGACAGCAAGAGTACCATTGGTGTGGAGTTCGCGACCCGATCGATCCAAGTAGACAGCAAGACGATCAAGGCTCAAATTTGGGTGAGGCGATAGCAAAGGCACATTCACGACGCTCACTGACAATAGTAGGATACTGCCGGCCAGGAGCGCTACAGAGCTATTACATCGGCATACTATCGTGGAGCTGTGGGCGCCCTCCTCGTTTATGACATTTCCAAGGAGCAAACGTAAGATAGCCGTGGAGGAGCACCATGCTTCCACACCATGCATCTGCTTCTTGCTCACCTTTCGCAGATTCGGCAACGTCCAGCGCTGGCTGAAAGAGCTTAGAGACCATGCGGTAAGGGATGGGGGTAAGTTCATGGCGATATACAAAGCTGACATCCGGTCAGGACACCAACATTGTCATCATGCTGGTTGGAAACAAGTCGGATTTGAGACACCTTCGTGCAGTTCCGACAGACGACGCAAAGGCGTTCGCTGCGGAGAACGGTTGGTGTTCTCCTAATGAGAATATTCCAAGTACATGCTAATGCTCAGCTTTGCAGGACTGAGCTTCATCGAGACTTCAGCTCTCGACGCCAGCAACGTTGAACTCGCATTCCAGCAAGAACTTACCGAGATCTACAGGATAGTGTCTTCAAAGGCACTCGACCAGGACACCTCCGGTCCAGCACCTGGGCAAGGTACTTCGATTCCTCTATCTGCTAGCACGCCGGCTGGCGAGGCAAAGAAGGGACAGTGCTGTTAATAGCATGAGTGAAGAGCGATGTCTAATGGCCTCGAATGGCGGGATGTAACGAGAGCATGGGAGCGCAGGACAAGCTGGGTTTGGTCGCGCAGGAGTTCGAGGCGTTATCGAGAACTTATAACTGCGGCGGCAGCGATGAACGCGTTTAGTCCAAGGCCTGCTTCTTAGGCAGACCGAGATGAAGAAATGTCCAGTCGTCCATTGCTCTTGAATCACTTGACCCAGGGAGACAGTCTAGTCATCTACACGGCGCAGCGCTGGGTTTATTCTTAACGGTCTAGGTCATTCGCAGGGATGGATCTCCAGCACATTATTCATTGACTAGCTAGCGTAGCCTGTCAAGGAGTCTTCTACGCTGGTGCCTACGCTGTGTGCTTGTATCTGCCCGCAGATATCTGTAGCAGCCCTTTCGCGCTACGCTAATGCAAACGGACGAGCCATGCCTGCCCCAGAAAATCTCTCTCTCATGCTTCGTTTCAGTCGTACCGGCGCTTGATTCGAGCCAGATCTGCTCTCACCTCCTCGATTTTCTCTTCGGCAGTCTCCAGGAAGCGTCTGAACTCACGACGAAGTTCCTCCTCGGCGTGATCGTCCAGCTTCTCATCGACCATGTCCTCAAACTGGCGGTATATGTCTTTGAGAATGTCGTGTACCTTGCGTTCAAGCACCTTACTCTTGGCTTTGGCATCTTCTTGAATTGCCGCCTTGAGCTTCTTGGTGGTGACACGGAAGGGAGAACGAGCCTCCGACAGCTTGAGATGCGTCTCGAACGTTCCAAACGAACGATTCTTGACGCCAGTACCACAGTCGTCCTTGCACTGTTTGTAAGCTTCGGACATGGCCTGGCTGAAATAGCCAGAGTGCCGATCTTGATTGAGGTCAAGCTGGATGTTTCTGTCGTGTGTTAGCAACTTTTCTATGGGTCAAAGTACAACATGAACTTACCGAAGCTCTTTGGCAGATTCTTCGCCGAAATCACGGCAAGCGTGTTCGATACCCTCAACATGAGCCTTGAGCATCTCTTTGATGCGGTTCATCGGGAGGATCATGGAGGCTGGGTGACTGGTGATGGATTTTTCAACGCTCTCAAGCAGCTCGAGCAGCTCGGCTTTGAGCTGTGAGGTCAGTGTCTCCTGGCCCGCAGTAAAAGCAGACCATGAACTGTTGAGCATCTTCGATGCAGCCGAGAGGAACTGTTCTGTCCAGGACTGCTTTGGCGCCACCGAAGTTTTGTGGTTCCCATCCCTCCGGAGAAAGGCGCGAGTGGTGCCCCAATGCCATTTCTTCTTCTTGTCGAGTTCCGCAAGAGCAGCTGCAACAAGATCGTCTTGGTTGGCAGCAAGGGGCTTGACGTTAAGCTCCTCGTTCGAATCAAGAAGACGCTCCACGTATGCGTTTGTGAGATCCTGGACCTTGTCTTGCGGCGCTTTGACAGAGGCGAGAAGATCCTCAGCACCTTCGATAGAATACGATTTGGCCCACATAGCCAGACCTTCCACGAAGACTTTGAACTTATGCCCGAAATAGTCTTCGAGCGATTCGAGCTGCGCAGGCGCCGCTGAGCTGTAGACACAGTTGCGGATCGCCGGAATTCCGGTGCCTTTCGCATCGAGGCGAGGACCGTTGACCATGCGAGCGCCTTTGAGAGCAGCGTAGTGCAAGTTGGAGACACAGAAGACCTCCAAGGACTTTCCAGTCGGAAGATGGTCATTCTTCTCTGCCTTCAATCGGCGGATCGTGTTCGAATTGCGAGCGTCCACGAGTATCTCAAACCGCTCTAAGGCCACTTTTGGAAGTTCATCTTCGGCCGCCTTCAGACGTTCCTCGTACTCTCTAATCTCACTCTGAAGTTTTTCCTTGGTCTTCTCAGTGAGTAACTTTTGCTTCTTTGACTTGGTCTTGCCACGACCCTGGAGCTTTGCGTTACGAGTCTCAATCTTCTTTGGCAGATGCCTTGTCAAGCTTCGAAGCTGTCTCTCATCCTGCAAGAGAGTATGGTGCTCTCCCACGCTTTGCCCTTCGTTCTCTAGATGCGCCGGGAGTTGAGGGTCAAGATTGTCGTCGATTCCAGTACACACGACTGCCATCTTGAATGACCGGCCGTACCTCATCAAGAGCGAATCGACACTGCTGTCAGTGATTGCTCGGTCGATTTTGGTTACGATCCAGAGCGCATCGCAATCTCGCATGATGTCGAGGCTGGCATTGACTCTCACTTTATTGACATCGTCGAGGCCTTTCACAGATTAGCAAGATACATGGAGGAAGGTGTGAGGGCAGGCAAATACCAGGTAGATCGACGAGGGTGACGTATCTGAGGATTCTTGGCGCTTCGAGACCGATGCTGTGATTCATTAGCGGAAGCGCAATGGTCAGGCGCAGTGAGAACTTACCGGACTTTTCGCACCAAAGGCCATAGCGCTGGTCTCTCGAACCGCGAGTTGGAACTGACCAACGGCTCTAGCTGCTCAAGGAATTCGGTTTGTGTTGCAGCATCGATGAACTCGACATGGTCATCCTCGTCAGCCTCTTTCTCTTCAAGGAGGGACTTGCACCAGGTCACCATCGTGACAAGAGCTTCACCATCGTCCTGAAATTTTGACAGCAGGAAGTCTGTCGCAGCGCGAGGAGATTCGAAAGGCTCTTGGTCGCAGAAGAGGGATCGGAAAGTGGTGAACGCAGTTGTTGACAGCCGCTTCAATTCCTGCTTCTCGTCTTCGTCCCAGTCTGGTTGCTCCTGGAAATTCCACCTATTGTAATCTTGTAGCATGCGTGAGAGCAACTCTTCGATAGCGTCAATCCCGAAGTATTCGATTTTGGCGGCGAAAGGCTTCGTCTGACCAGTGAAAGGTGAAGAGTATTCGCTGCCGACATAGGTACAGGATGAGCCACCAGCCATCTGCACATCTGTTAGACTTTGCCAACACCAAAATTGGGATGAACTTACAGCTTTCGCCAAGTAAGGCATGTCGAGCAACGAATTGAGAAGAGAGCTTTTGCCTATATTGTGTCAGTGATGTGGTGATGCCAGGAATGGTCATAACCTACCAGCGCCGGTGTTGCCAAGCAGTGCAATCTTGTCTTTCTTCGCTGATGGAATAGTAGAGAGCAGTTCTGCGTTGGATCGGCATCCTTGAACGCGGCTGTTGCGGCAGTGGCTTCCTCTAAGGATCTGTAGAGCACCTTTTGGGATGCTGACAAGATCTGTTGCGACTTGCGCGAAATCTTTGTCGTAAGCCACGCATTGGGGAAACGTCTCATCGGTCTCAGAGTATTCGCATTGACCGGTGATGTTAGACTGGTTGTCGATATCGTCAGATATGTCGGAGTCGAAGTCGGAGTTGGAGTCATCTGTTGTGTCCAGCAGGCTTATCACAGGCTTGACGTCTTCGTCTTCGTCACCATCATCGAAGTAGTGCTTGCGCTTTCCCGCGCCGCCTTGAAGGCGCGTGGACGTGACCATCTTCCGCGCTCTTTTGCTTCCTAGTTCCTGTTTCAAGCGTGCAAGGAGATGGGGAGAGTTGATCTTGTGTGGAACAAGTTTGTAGGAAAGAAAAGGCGAAGCTGGCCACTTAACTTCCCGACCAAGTGAGGTTTGAACAACAGGCAACGATGTGAGAGTGTCATTAACTAAAACGGCGTTGTAGACAGACTTCCCTCAGGTTTTGCGCGCTGAAGTGAAGTCGGGAGTGAAGTCGGAAGTGAAGTCGTCAATCATTGTCCGTCGTCTGCAAAGCAGAGAGGCTTCATGACACATAATTACCCATTTTCTGCGCAACGATAGAATCGCGACATAGGTGCTGGCTCATGGAGTTGTATGAATTGAGAGAAGAGGATGAGACATTGTTTGGGTCTTGTTTGGGTCTTTGATCCGAGTCCGACGTGCGCAGCAACACGTGACCTGCATGTTGATTGCATGCTTGCTGCGCTGCAGGCTCCACTGCACTCTACTCTCGCCGCACGCGACCTTTGCCTTCGAACAATTCCACAACCTCCCCAGGCCGACGTATAGATTTAAATTTGCTCAACAAGCCACTTCCGGCTCAGAGATGCGATAGTCGATTCGTCCTCCTTCGGCTTCCGACACTTTCTCAGCCAGCCTGCTAGCCAGTCTTCTATTCTGATCAGAACGATAAGATGTTTTGTTTGCGTAGCGTGAGAAAGACGGAGGACAGAGGTTGAGAGGTCATGCTGATTCGTACACAGTGGTTGCCACTCCTCGTCTTCATATCGAGCGCCAGCCCCATTTATATCCTCTGCTTCCTCAGCGCATTCTACTGGCTTCAACGACCATGCGTATATTGCAGCATCCTCCTCTTCGTTCTCGTCTTCTCGATCTTCGACTTCAGCGCAGATTGGTTCGAGCCGCGGTGGAATGGTAATGCGACAGCCCTTACGAAAACAGTGGCCTCGTTTCTGGGAGGAAACTCAACCTTTACCGAGGTGGCTTTAGAGACGGCGAGCCTGGCCGTCTCGGCAATCAACGGTACTGGCGGATCACTAGCAAGCTCAGCGATGGACAATGTGAGGAGCAGGATGGCATCGGAGGCTGGCTCGGCTGTAATCACAACGTTACCGAATGGTCTAAGTGCGTTCGAATGGATACGAAATCTCTTGGACAAACGGCAACTTCGCATACCTTGCCTCGGAGTAGTCGTACGGATATGAAGAACAGGAGCATCAGCATGGCAGATAATGTGGCCACGAGAGACATGACGGCATAGAAGGGCGTTTTGATGAGCATTTACATCGGTTGAGGGACACGGGCTCAGTCTACAAGATACCCTACGACTCCGCTGAGAGCGCGCAATAGGACAAGATTGCGACAGTATGTACAATTGACAACCTAGCACTGCTATTCGATTTGCTACTTGCTATTTGTCTCTCGTATGGTCACGTGCCGATTTGATCGGATGCCGAACAGCGTTCAGGCTTGGCCGAACAGCTCCGATCGCAGTTGCGTGCCTGCTGCAGTCGTGCTACCATTGCCTGTTTGCTTCTGGTCCCTGGAGTGTTAAACTGCGGCACATTCGCATGTTGCTTGCTCCACGCGCCTTTTCGTGGCTCCATCTCGCGCCCAAGCTCCAAGTCCTCCATCCTAGCGGGGCACATACATTGCCTAGCAACAAGATCGCATCTGCCTTCCTCTACCAGCCATCGAGCCGAGCAGCCAATCGATTCGAGCGAAGGACTTTGCATACACATAGAAGTTGTTTTCGATCTTCGAAAGCACGTCCAAGATTTGGTTCTGCTCCAGTCTCCCAACCCGCAGCCAGCATCCGACCCTGCTCGAGCCACGCATCGAGTACTTTGGTCAAGATGGCCACCGATAGAGACGTCCTGCCAGCAGACGTCAAGCCCATCAACTACGCCATTTCTCTGACTGACCTGACTCCTGGTGAGCCATGGACATATCAAGGAAAGGTCGAGATTGAGCTGGAGATCAAGAAGACTGTCACCAGCATCACGCTCAATACGCACGAGTTGAAACTCCACTCTGCCGAGATTGGAGCAGATTCAGGGAAGAATTCCTCATCGATCAAGGCATCTGGGATTGCGTTCGACGAGAAGAATCAGCGAGCTACATTTTCATTCGATCAAGAGCTGCCACAATCTCCCAAAGCTGTGCTTTCAATCTCCTTCGAGGGTACTATGAACAACTCAATGGCGGGCTTTTACCGCTCGAAGTACAAGCCAGCAGCTGAGCCAGCAAAGGGCGTTGCTAAAGATGCGGAGAATCACTACATGTTCTCAACACAGTTTGAGAGCTCGGATGCCCGACGAGCATTCCCATGCTTTGACGAGCCCAACTTGAAGAGCTCCTTCGATTTTGAGATTGAGATTCCCGACGATCTAGTAGCTCTTAGCAACATGTCAGAGAAGCGGACACGGAGGAGCAAGGATGGACACAAGATTGTGAGCTTCGAGAGAACACCAATCATGTCCACCTACCTGTTGGCGTGGGCTTTTGGCGACTTCGAATATGTAGAGGACTTCACAAGACGCAAATACAATGGCAAGAGCTTGCCGGTGAGAGTATACACCACCAAGGGCCTCAAGCAGCAAGGCCAGCTTGCTCTGGAGAGCGCTCACCAAATCGTGGATTATTTCTCCGAAGTATGCCTTTTCACGATAGCCCAGACCAACGTTCCATTACCGAAAGCTTGCCACTAATCTGACACAGGTATTCGACATCGACTACCCGCTTCCAAAGGTCGACCTGCTTGCCGTGCACGAATTCGTAAGTCTTTCCAAAGCTGAGCCTGTTCACTGACATGGGCGGCTGATCATCGCCAGCCCATTATAAGTCTTCCTTTTGGCGGCACAATACTCTGCTCCTGACTTGGCTGACCGATGTTTTATAGTCTCACGGTGCGATGGAGAACTGGGGTCTCATCACCTACCGCACAACCGCAGTTCTCTTCGACGAGTACGCTTCCGATCAGAAATACCGCAACCGAGTCGTCTACGTCGTAGCTCATGAACTTGCACACCAATGGTTCGGAAATCTTGTGACTATGGACTGGTGGAACGAGCTGTGGCTGAATGAGGGATTCGCTACCTGGGTCGGATGGTACGCCGTTGACCATCTGCATCCTGACTGGAACGTCTGGGGTCAATTCGTGACAGACTCGATGCAGATGGCCTTTCAACTGGATTCGCTTCGCACAAGTCACCCAATCGAAGTGCCTGTCAAGAATGCCTTGGAAGTCGATCAAATCTTCGACCACATTTCCTACCTCAAGGGTAGCTCAGTGATTCGCATGCTCGCTGCGCACCTCGGCGTGAAAACATTCTTGAAAGGAGTTTCGGACTACCTGAAGGCTCACCAGTACTCAAATGCCAAGACCAACGACCTCTGGTCGGCGTTGAGCAAGGCTTCAGGACAAGACGTGACAACGTTCATGGACCCATGGATCAGAAAAGTAGGTCTCTTCTCGATCGATTATCGGCGGCAAGATTGCTGACGTTGTGTAGATTGGCTTCCCAGTAGTCACGGTTGCAGAAGAGCCAGGCCAAATCAGCGTCAAGCAATCAAGGTTCTTGACTTCTGGCGAGGTGAAGCCTGAAGAAGATACGACTACCTGGTGGATTCCTCTTGGACTGAAGACCGGTCCCAAGGCTACCGACGCACAGAGAGAAGCGCTTACCACGAAAGAAGATACGTACCGTGACATCGATACCAGCTTTTACAAAGTCAACGCGGACCAGACCGGTTTCTATCGCACAAATCTGCCACCGCCACGACTTGTCGAATTGTCCCGGCATTTAGACAAGCTCTCAGTCGAGGACAAAATTGGCCTCATTGGTGATGCAGCTGCTTTGGCTGTTGCTGGAAATGGCACGACGGCAGCTGTCCTGTCTTTCCTGGAAGGCTTCGTTACGGAAGCAAACTACCTCGTTTGGTCTGAGGTGCTCGCCAGTCTTGGAAAGATTCGTCGTATCTTCGCTACCGACAAGCAAGTGTCAGAAGGTCTACGAAACTACACGCTCAAGCTCGTGACTGCGGCGACAGATAGGATCGGCTGGGACTTCGCGCCTGGCGAGGATTATCTGACAGGACAATTGCGAGCTCTCTTGATCGCCACAGCAGGTCTTGTTGGGCATGAGAAAGTCGTTGCCGAAGCTCAAAAGCGCTTCAAGGAACACTTTGATGGCGACGCAAAGGCCATTCACCCATCGCTAAGAGCTGCGGTCTTCAAGATCGCGATCAAGAATGGGGGAGAAGGTGCGTACAAGACGGTGCAAAAGGAGTTTTTGACGACCACGTCCATTGACGGTCGCGAAATTACACTTCAATCCATGGGACAGGTTCAAACACGCGACTTGGCAATCGACTATCTAAAGTTTGCCTTCGCTGGCAATGTTGCAACACAAGATTTGCACACTGTAGGAGCTTCGCTTGGCAACAACTCCAAGGTCCGCGATACCGTGTGGGCATACATCAAACAGGAGTGGCCAATGATTCGCGAGAAGCTGGGAGGAAATATGGTGGTGCTCGAGCGCTTCTTGAGGATGAGTTTGCAGAAGTTCGCCAGCTCCGACGTTGAGAGGGACATCGCACAGTTCTTTGCCGGCAAGGACAACACTGGCTTCGACCGAGGCCTTGCTGTGGTCAGCGACACCATCAAGAGCAGTGCGCAATACAAAGAGCGTGACTTGGAGAACATTCGCGAGTGGCTGGCAGCACACGGCTACTCGTCCTAGACCTAGACGCATACCTTACCCGATTGAAGGCTCATGGCTGCATCGCACAGCCTGATTGCCATTGCCATTGTGGAGTCTGTCGGCGAAGCTTTCCTGGACTTTCGGGCTAGGAGAATTGGCAGCAATAGCATCGGGACATCGGGACAGTGGAAAAGTACATGTAGTAGGGAGGCAGATCGCCATCAAAGGGGTTGTCTCCTGCTCTGCTGCATGCATTGTCGGCTGTGATTGCTCGCATCTATTGAAGCACTTGCCCCCATTGATCTGCTCCTCACGCGCTCTTGCTATTGTCGAGCGTGTTCGCTCTAGACCCTTCGCCTGCCCTCTTTCCCTCGCGCCACGATTGCTTCCAATTGCGATCCTGCGACTGCACCAGCATCGCCGCTCTTTCCGTTTCGGGGTCTTCGAAGCAAACGCTGCAGCGGCAAGCGCCTCAAAGCAACGCCTTCTTTCCCATCGGCGAAGCACAGCATCGCACCTACATCAACCTTGGCTTCCGGCGCTTCAACACGTTGTCATCGACATCGACACCCTCGACCACACGCGTACTCTTGACCATCTTGGCATCTTATCGAGCGCGTGCCGCCACCTTCTTGTTGCTGCGCCGACACGCACACGCACACGCACACGCACACAGCGATCGCGTCGCCATCACAACCAGATCTAGCCAGCACGCCCATCCGCCGCATCAGTATGGAGTGGACCGGATCTCCGACCAAGAAGGCGTCTGCATCATTCAGCATCTATGATGAGAATACCAACGACCAGGTGCGCTTCGCATTTCTCTCCCATTCGTCCCTCTTGGCTGACCTGTTGCTCTAACAGCTTGGACTGAAGCGCACTTCGACCGCTCTGCCGTTGCCACTGACAACGTCACGACTTGCAAATCGCGGCCCACCTCCACAAGCTCGCCTCCCGCCAGCTAACAAGTTCAACCCATTTCTACCCGCATCCGCCGACATCTATCAGCCCAAGTCCAACATGACTGTCTCTGCTGCTCCAATGACCGACATCCTCGGCAAGCTCAACCTGCAACAAGACCTCTTGTCTCGCCAGAAGCGCGAGCTTGATGAGAACAAGAGCACCTCATCGTCGGCCACCGACCCATATGCTCAGACGCCACCCACCGAAACCTCCGATGGCCGTCCGGACTCTGCCCAGGTGCTTCATCTCCAGAAGCAGCTACAGCAGGCCAATGAGCGTATGGCAGAGATGGGTCTTCAGCTCACTCAGTCTCGTCTGGCACAGCACACCATGCAGGAAGCAATCGGCTCTCCTTTCCCAGCTGCTCAACACCTGGCTGCCAACATTCCTGATCAAGCATTCATGCCATCCACGAATGGTCTTGTCCAGGCCGCTAAGTACAGCCGACCCACGAGTCCATTCGAGCGTGGCAGCTTCAATATGTCTCAGCAGTCGTAAGTCTCCGCTCGCCTCACCTCAACTCACCTCCTTCGCCCACCAATAACGTACACGCCACTGACCTTTCGTAGATTCGATGGTATGCCAGGTTTTGCGCGCACACAGTCGAGCTTCAACTCGAGCTTCAACAGCCGCAATGGCTACACGCCTCCAATCACCCCAATGCCGTTCCAGCAACAGCAGCCTTTTCCACCGCCAAATAATGCCGCTTACCCTCAGCAAGCTCCGGTCGGCACGCGACTGTCTGCAACCGCCGCAGAATTTGGCGTCGGACGTGGCCAGTGGGCCATGCAGCCGCAACACCAGGCGCTCACGTACGCGAGCACCACGGAGCCTCTCAACTATCGCCGTCTACTTGATCGCAACATGAGTTGCAACTGGAAGTACATTGTCGATAAGATCGTCTGCAACAATGATCAGCAGGCATCCATCTTCTTGCAGCAGAAACTCAAGCAAGGCACAGGTGAGCAGAAGTTCGAGATCGTGCAGGCCATCATCGATCAGGCCTACCCACTCATGGTCAACCGCTTCGGCAATTTCCTGGTCCAGCGCTGCTTCGAGCACGGCACCCCAGAGCAGGTTGTTGCCATCGCACAAGCCATTCGCGGTAACACGCTCAACCTCAGTATGGATGCTTTCGGATGCCATGTTGTGCAGAAGGCTTTCGATTGTGTGCCAGAGGAGTACAAGGCCATCATGGTGCACGAGCTGCTTCGCCGAATCCCAGAGACTGTCATCCATCGCTATGCCTGCCACGTTTGGCAGAAGCTATTCGAGCTGCGCTGGAGCGACTCGCCTCCTCAGATCATGAAGTACGTCAACGAAGCACTTCGAGGCATGTGGCATGAAGTCGCGCTCGGCGAGACGGGCAGTCTCGTTGTCCAGAACATCTTCGAGAACTGTCTTGAAGAGGACAAGCGCCCTTGCATAAACGAGGTGCTCTCAAGCATTGATGTCGTTGCCCACGGCCAGTTCGGTAACTGGTGCATCCAGCACATCTGCGAACACGGCTCGATCCCAGATCGTACCCGCGCCATTGACCATGTCATTCGCTTCGCCTCCGAGTACAGCATGGACCAGTTTGCTTCTAAAGTCGTTGAGAAGTGCCTGAAGATCGGCGGCAGCGACTTCCTTGATCGCTACCTTGATCGCGTCTGCGAAGCTCGTCCAGACCGTCCACGCATGCCACTAATTGACATCTCTGGCGACCAATTCGGTAACTATCTCATTCAGTACATTCTCACGCACGGTGATCCAGAGCGTCGTGAGATCGTCGCCGCACACATTCGCAAGCACATGGTCTCGCTTCGTGGCTCCAAGTACGGATCGCGCGTTGCCATGCTCTGCTGCAACCCTGCTGTCGCCACCCGTCCAGGTCCACCAGCTGGCCTTCCGATGCACCGCAACAATGGCGGCTATGGAGGCGACCATCACTTTGGTCAAGGCCCACCTCGCCCATACGGCAATGACCGCCCATACATGGGCCGTGGAGACTATGGAGGCGCATACCGCTGATCAACTGCTCTGCTGCCTCAGCCGCGAAGAATGATTTTCGCCTCATACCCATGATTCTGGACCGAAAGTATCATCGCCATACGTTCGCTCTAATCTACGCTGCCGGCAAGGCACGCCTTTTGCTCGCTGTCTACATTTAAGCTACGCTTGGGATCTTGCCCATGTCGTTGGATGGGAGGCATGTTATCAAGGTTGCTATTTCATCTTGGCAGCTTTGTAACCAGAGCAGTGAGCGTGCTGGTCAGGCTTGCACATCGCCCTACATCTTAGCCATCTCGGAGATGTTTTCCGGTTGTTTCTGTTCATCAAAAGCGAAAAGGAGGTATGAAAGCTCACAAGAAGGAGATTGCTGCTACTGTTTGATATCTTAGCCACGAGTTCGGCTCGAGATGCGTAATGGGTAGTGCTTAAATTCTAGTGTTTCGGATAATGAGAAAATTTGCTGTTTGTATGCAATCAGGCGAGCTGCTGTCATACGCCTGAATCTCTCGTTCATCTGTAAGCTCTAATCTGTGCATATATCAGCTGTACAGTCGAAGTGAGTATGAGTCTTCGAAGAAGATGGTTACGCGTTCACCCTCAACGTTCAAAATAGTCGTCATGCAATGGGCAGATGCACTGCAGGGAAGGAAATGAGTTTTTGGCCAAGTCTAACGAAACCCGTGGCAGGGCGTTCGGCCGCCGTCGCAATCTGTTGAGATGGACGTATGGTGTACTTCTCAACGTCGTTGACTCTTGCCGGCTTACGAAACATTGGGCTGGGAAAGGAAAAGAAGAGGCCACAGCCAGATAAGGAAAATGACCATTTCCTTTTGGGCGGCATGAATAATCCTAGCAACAGCCCTGATTTCGCATGAATTCCTTTTGGGCGGCCGATAGATGCTATCTCACTACTGGCCGAAAGGCACGCGTGCAACATCGACTCATCAAAGTGCACGTTTCCGTTCTGAATAGACCTAATGACCCCCGGTCCATCCCGCAAAAGGTCCGAGTGACTTACTCACCATCTCGCCGCTCGTGGACGTGGCCGGCGTATTTGAGTCCTGCAATGGAGGCAAATGGAACATGAAAAGGTGAGGTCAGAAGAGGATCTATGCCGGGTAGGAGTAGGACTACGAAGGTGAGGGATGAAAAGAAGAGTCCGATATTAGGGCACATTCGGCAAGAATAGGAAGCGTGTCTTTCCGACCGTACTGGCATTGATCAACACTTCGGCCGTGAGATACCGGGTGTCTGGCCTCTCAGATGGACGGTGTAAATGTTTAGAAGCAAGCGCAGAGTCATTATTACCCGAGGAGTACAGAAGGCGTTCTCTTTGTTCTCGCGTTGCATTACCGTGCCAAGGTGTTGTTGTTGTTGTTGTTAATTCCATTTATAGTCCGTTCCTCGGCTAATCCGAGTGCCGCGTATAGCGACCAGCTGCCCTAGGGCGCTATGCCAGACTCTAACTATATAGAAGTATCGTATAAGACGTAGAATATAAACAACTCCGTAAAAGTAGCCCTATAAAGGAAACAAATATCCGTATAAATCCTCCTCGTCGTATAGTCTCTTCGAGATCCTTATTTTATTCTGATTTTTGACCTAATCTAGCCTGCGGCTGTCCGCGTAGCCTCGCCTTCTTTTACTAAGTAGTAACCTAGAGTAGTCTCGGTCTTATCGTCGCGAGTAGGTCTACTACTACTCGAGCGAGAGATAGGGTATTTATCGTCGTCCGCCGAAAGCGTTACGCGCGGTTGCTAAGATCGTCGCCTTCTCCTTATCTATAGACGCCGTTTCGAAGGGTATATATCGTCTAGATAGTATAAGAGGGCTACTCGTCTTATATTATCTAGATTTTAGATACTAGATCCTATCCGTTCTTCTTTATATCGAGCGGTTCGTAAACTATATAAAGACCGGGGACTCTATTAGCCTGTAGTATCCTCCTTCTTAGTACTCGAGTAGGCCGTCGTCGTATACGGGTTACTACGCCGTAGTCGTCGTCGTCTCGAAATTCTCGTTTAAAAAGGGGCTATTTTACGTCGTCGAGGTACGCGAGAACGAATCTCCTCGTCGCGATCGTATCGTTACGGCTAAAAGTAGCGGGCGCAAACCGCTATATAAGGCCGTATTTTAACCCGTATCGTCGTTATCGTCGTCGGTATATAAAGCCGTTGTCGCGTCGTCGATAGGCCTCGGGTTAGGGGCGCGATAGCGTCGTATCTAGGGGTAGGGCGGAGGCGGCGATATCGTGTCTAGAGGCAGGTCTTAGTTTCGCTATAGGCGAACAGCTACTTATACCGCGCACTACGAGAAGGTGCCTGCTAGTCGCGCGGCCTGTGCTAAGGTAAGAGTGCCTACCTAGGGTCTATACGAGTCGTTCGGGAAGCCTACTAATTAGTTAGCAAATGCGAATACCTAGTACCTATAGCTAGTAATATCGTTACTAGTATACTTGTTGCTGCCTTTTCTATAGTAAATTCAACAATTTTAGCTATTATTTAGTTATAAAATGTGCTCCTAGGCGGCTAGCGCGTACCTAGAGGAGTGCGAGCGAAGCTTTCGCCTTATATATACTAAGCTAATTCGGTTCTTTAGACCTCGAAGCTAGACCTCGAAGCTATTACTATTATTATACGATTTAGTTCTATTAGAATAGTTTATTAGAAATAAGTATTTTTATATTTTTGTATTACTATTTTTCTTTTCTAGTATTTTAGATACTACTTTTTTATTTTTAACTTTATATATATTACTTACTTTTATTCTAGTTTTCTCTAATTTTTTATATCTATTACTACTTTTTATACTACTAAAAAAACCATTTTTAATTTTTTTCTTTAATGTCGTTACGAAAACTTCTTTTCCGATCGCGACGATCCTATCGATCCTAGCGATCGCGAGCGATCCCGAGCGATCGCGAGCGATCCCGAGCGATCCTAAGCGATCCCGAGCGATCCCGAGCGATCCCGAGCGATCCTAAGCTATCCTAGAACGATAAATAGGTAACTTATAAAAGTTAGACTTTTGCCTAATACTACACTCAAAATAGAACATTTTTGTTATATATTACTAAGCTGTAAACCTTCTAGATAAAAAGATATAAAGGAAAGAAAATCGCTTTTCTAGACATTTTGCTTCTAATTTATCTTTTTTTCTAGTAGGTTTATAGCTTAGTAATATAGTAAAAAGGTACTCTATTTTTAGTATATTATTTTAAAAAAATATAAAATTTATAGTTTTTCTACGAAACTAAAGCTAGGGAACAGAAATAAGCAATATAGTATTTTGGCTTTTCTAAGTTATACTTTACTATTTTTAGAAATTTAAAAAATAGAACTTAAAGTTCTACCTACTAATAAGAGTATTATAAATTTTGAAGTCTTAATACCTAGTAATTATCCTAGAATCTAGAAAAGAATCTCGAGTGTTTCGAGTGTACTTTTTTTCAAAGTTCTGCTTATTAAGCGTCGGCTTTTGAAAGAAACCTTAACGAAATATCGGCTGCATTTAACGAAACCTTAACGAAAAAAATTTATTTATAAAAAAAACCTACGAAACCGCTAAATTTGACCTATATTAGTACGCAATACCCCGAAATACCTCCTCGTAGTAGTAGTATACGGAGTAGTAGCAGTCGGGCTCTAACTTGCCCCGCGTCCTTTACGTTCCTTGCCCTCGAATTTCGGGACGGGCCGTCCCGAAATTCGCGATCGCGAGGATCCTATCGGACAGGATCGCGAGTAGTCGGAATTTCTAGATCGCGGCGATCCTGTTAGACAAGATCTTTAACGTACGATCCTAAGGATCCTAAGGATTCTAAGGATCCTAAGCGATCCTATCGATAGGATCGTCGCGATCGGTAAAAAAGTTTTCGTAACGGTTTTATAGTTTTTCTATTTAGTATCTTACTTGTTTTACTTACCTATTTTATATTTTCTTATTTATTTTTATTATATGTTTTCTTTTTTCTAATACGTCTAAGTCCTCTTATTTATATCCTTATTTATTACTTATTTTCTATCTTACTACTTAGTGTTATATATCGTATATTATAAAGTAGATAATTATTCTAAGTCTATCTAGGCTTAGAGAAGTATATACTATAGTAGGCTAGGGCCTCTTGCCTAGCCTATGCCTATGCCTACCTTTGTAATAGAATCCCCTAGTCCCGAAATGTCCGCGACTACGTAGATAGTAGACTTAGTATCTACATATATAATAAAAGAGATTTTAGGCTATGCGCCCCTATTTTTCGTCTCGCTATTCTAATTCTTCCTTACCCGCTAATGCTTAATATCCTATTTCCTCTAGCTAGGTCGTTAACGCGCGAGAGTGTAAGAAATACTACTATTCGCTAACTACGGGGTCTCTAGGATGCTCGTTATTAGGTTCTCCTTACTATAGAGGGCGCAGTTCTAGAAAGCGGAGGCCCTTTTTCTTGTTAGTAGGATGCAGACTATTAAAAGTCTCTACGGTAAGCTTTCCGAGCGCCTTATATAGGCCCTTATCGCCGCTCGGTCGTACTAATCTAGATTCTATAGAGCGCGGCAAGCAGTTTAAAGAGGTCGCTTTCCTCTTACCTAAGGAACTATAGTAGCGGTAGGTCTTTTATAGCCTTAATCGCATTCGTAGCGGAGTTAGGTTCTTCAAATATGCGCTAGATAGTATCGATAATTAGAGGTAGACTTGCGGTCGGCTCGTCTTCGTTATTGTATTTAATAGTACCGTCTTCTAACTAGAAATCGGAGAGTATATTTATAAACTCTATAATATCCTTAAGATTAGTAGGGTCGAATTTGCCGTTCTAGGCAGTGCCTTCCTAGTCGAATTAGTTACCGTAGTCTATAACCTCTTTTTAATTCTCTTCTAGTAGTTAGGTAAACGCGGTACCGAACTTCTAATATAATATGATATATCTCTCGTACTATAATCTCTCGTCGGCGTCTAGTTTAGCGAGGTCTTCGTCGTCTGTTACTTAATTATAACCGCTATTTTCGAGCGCGTCGCCGACGGCTCTTACGAAGAAGCCGACGTATTGCTTAAATTCTTACGGGTCGGTATCCTCCTACTAATTTCCTTATAATATAGCTAAGGCCTTCCGAAAGGCGTCGTCGTCCTATTTATAGTCCTATATCGCCTCGATTAGTAAGCTACGGCTATCGTCGATAGACGTAGGCTCCGGCGGAATTTACTAGACTATCTTTACGAGGCGGGTATATATTAGCTCTACGAAATATAGCTATTTTACGGCCTCGAGCTTATCGAGAATATCCTCCCTAGGGGGCTAAAACGCGTTATCTATAGTAGACCTAGAGTATCCGTTATCCTTAGTCGCGATTTGCTATAGTAGGCGTCCGCCGCTTCGGTCGTCGAGTTCCCGCGCGAAGTGCTTAAGCAGCTATCTAACGTCGTTATCTCCCTTATAGTAAACGATAGTCGCCTAGGGTATAGGCTAGATCTCGTTATTCCCGTCTATTAGAACGAGCGCCTTTATCTAGTACCGAAGGATAGCGGCCTTTAATAGTAAAGGTACCGCCGATATAAGGAGCTTACTTATTAGGTAAAGTATTAAGCAGTCGCCGTTTTGTTAAATAACGTTTATTATTTGCTTAGAGGCGTAACTTAGTATCTAGTTCGTCTAGTTACGGAAAGCGTTTATATCTACGTCTCTATTGTCTCTAGATATACTAGTAACGAAATCTCGATTCGAGAAAGGGTCGGTTTTACTAATCTTCTCGATCTTGTCTTAAGCGGATACTAGCATTTAGGAGACCTAGAAGTAAATGTTTCCGTACTCGTAGTTAAAATTTAACGCGACTAGTATTAGATAGTAGAGGTAGGCTTTCTATTCTTTATCTAGGAACATCGCGAAGATAAGCTAGCTAGTATTAGTATTAAGTTCGTAAAAAGCTACTAAGCGGCGGATAAAATCCTTCTCCTATTCCCTTAATAGACGTAGCTTATTACCGGGTAGCACCCGCCCTAAGTCTACGTTATAGAAAGCTATTATAAGTCTCGGAAAGTCGAAATAGCTCGTAGGGAGGCGGATCGTCGAATCCGTAAGGAGCTCTTAGGGAGATAGTCCTACGTAGACGGCAGCGTCTATAGGTAAGATCTCCTCGTCTACGCGAGTTATAAGCTTACTTAAGTCTAAATTGCCCTTACTAGTTGCTTTCTCTAGCGCCGCAGTTTACGCTTTAGTAGACTTAGCCTTTCCTACTATTACGGCCTTCCCGGCGGGCGCCTTTATAGATTTGCCTTTCTTAGTACCTAGTTCGGCTTTGCTATCGTCGGCTTTAGTAGACTTAGCCTTTTTAGTAGTAGTTAGCGGGTCGGCTTTAGTCGACTTAGCTTTTTTAGTAGTAGTTAGCGGGTCGGCTCTACTATTATCGGCTTTAGTAGACTTAGCCTTTTTAGCGGCAGTTAGGGCCGACGTAGGCGCATCCTTACGCTTTCTAGCTATCGAGGTAGAGGCGGCCTTCTATACTTTCGCGGCTTTCTAGGCTGCTTTCTAAGCCTTTGCGTCGGCCTGCTTCTAGGCCTTCTATTCTTAGAGTTTAGCCTTGAATTTCTTAGTCTATATAGATATCCTCTAGTCGATTGCTTTCTTCTACTTTATATAGTCGGAATATAGTAGTATCGCCGGGCGTTAGTGTCCGTCCTTCGTTATTATTTTAGCCTTTTCCTTATAGTAGGCTAAAGAAATATCCTAGAAGATTATGCCTTAGGTAGCTAGTATAAGACTTAATATTAGATCTATTAGTAGGGCGCGTAGGCCTAGCGGGAAACGGCCTAACTATATCTAAAAGTTGCGAATAACGCGCTCGAAATCCCTAGTAATATCGCTATATTCTAATTGCTACTTCTCGTCGTCTATAAGCGCTGTAATTAGCTATATATATATCGAGCGCTATATTTTTAGCTATTTGCTCTAAAGAATTAGCGCTAGGTAGGGTTTAGGGAAGATATCGTAGATAGACTCGAGGTCGGCGACAATTCTCTACCTTAGATCTGCCTTATAACGCTCGACTATGTCGGCGATTAGTCCGGCGAAATAACTCGCTACCTCTATATAGTTTGCAAAGCAGTATACTCCTTCTGTAACCTAGTATACTAGCGCGTAGTAGGCGACGGTAATAGGCGTTATTTCGCCTTAGTAAATCGTCTAAAAAGCCGTTACGTAAGTAAGACTGTCTCGCTCGTATCTTAGGACGGCGTAGTCTAGTATTATAAGGTCCTCTAGAGCCTTAGAGGCGTACAAGATCGAGTTATTTGTAGAGAAATCGCCTTCGTTAATATCGTATAGTAGCTTATTACCGGCGGTCGCCTACTCGAGTAAGCGTACGTTAGCACTATAGTAAGGGTTTTTCGGTCTACTCTAGCCTTTCCTTATCTATCTAGAAGGATAGATCTCGCCTATACTCTTCTAAATCGCCTTAGGCTATTCGCTAGGGGAGGCGTATTACTAATTTACGTACTTTTCGGAACTGTATATAGAATCTAGGTTAATAAGCGCCGTCTTAAATTCGTTAAGGCTAAAATATAATAGCTAGACCGATACGAGGTATACCGCTAGTCTATTAGGTAAAATGTTAATAAGCTAATCTGCCTATAGTACTATACGCGCGCCGAGGATAGCCTTCTTCCTAGCTTAGGTAGGCTTCTCGTCGTCGGCGTCGAAATCGTACTCGTCTTTAAAAGAGGCGAGGTCCGGCTAGAGATAGTTACTATATACGTCGTAGCCCTTATTATCCTTTTTTCTAAACTTCCTTTTATACTAGTCGAGCTTAGCTTTCGAGGCCTTCTTAATATCGGCGAGACGCGTAGCGCGCTCGCCCTCTATTTCTAATTCGATCTATAGGGCCTTATAGTTGTCGTCTTTAAGGCCCTCTTCTTTCGATTCCTTACGATAGACCTAGCGTCTAGCCTTAGTCTCTATACTGTCGCAAAGCTTCTATTTATAGAGGTCGAGGCGTTCGCGACCCTACTAATCGTAGGTATCGTAATAGTACGGCGCGTTGGCGTTATAGCTAGTCTCTAAGATATAATATAGGCGATTGCCTAAGGCGCTAATCGTCTTATAGACCTAAGGTATAAGCGTATACTCGATTCGAGGAGTACCGAAAGCTATATACCGCTTAGCGTAGATAGGAGCTACGGGTAACTATAGTACTAAAGCCTTTTCCGGCCTACTATTCGTTGCAATCTTATATAGGAGTTTGTGTTCGCGCCGTATTATACTATTAATAGAACGTACTAGTATGCCTAGTACGTCCGAGACAGCGTTAGCCTTATACCTAGCCCTATCGATATACGAGAGCATATTAGAAAACCTCGGCACCTTGTCTAGATATAGTATACGTAGGATTTCGCCCGGCTTAGGTAGTGCGATAATAAGACGCTTCGTCTTAGGCGCCTATCTCTTAGTAGCCTACTAACCCTACTCTTCTTCTCCGCTGTTATCGGAAACCTCTTTCTTAGCCTCGTCGTTATCCTATCCTTGCTCTTCCCTATTAGTAGGTATAGCCTGCCTTGCTACTACTCCTCTATTATTTAGAGTAGCAGATTAACTATCCTCGGGATTTCCCCTATTTCTAGTAGTATCCTTATTCTTAGTTCTAGAAACAAGCTCCCCTTCCTTATTATTAGTTTTTTTATTTTCATTTTCTTCGTTTTTATTCTCTTTATTCTTATTCTCTTTATTTTTATTCTCTTTATTCTCGGGAATAGGCTCCCGTCCTCTATTTCCCTTATAGTTATTAAACCTATCTTCTCTATCTATTTCTATTACCTCGGAATTCTCTCTATTCTCTACTTCGTTGCCTTATTCTATTCCCTTAGGGTCTTTGCCGCGCTATAGCAATATTATTACCTAGCCGGACGGAGGCGTTTCGGGGATACCGCCTAGTAGAGGCATATACTCTAGTAGAGGCGTATCTTCCTAACCGAATATTATCGCGCCGCGCTTCTACTAAAACTTCGACCCTCCGGCTATATCGGTAGTAATGCTTCTTTATAATGCTTGTTTAATATTACTATAATATAGATAGCTATAGTTATACGCCTCGTATACTTGTTGCGCCTCGTAGCCGTATATATTATTATTATTATTAATTCGAGCGATAGTTGAAATATTACTTCGGCGATATAGTCCGAGCTTCTATATACTATGTTTAATAACAGTCGCGCGGGTACGCAAACCTTATTCTAGCCGCGTATGTCTAATAGATAGAAGGCGCTAGAATAGTCGGAAGTAAGGGTATAAGAGAAGGATAAAGTAGCCTCTTAGGCCTAATGTCTAGGTCTATAATACGTACAAGATCTGTCTAGGTAATTTTCCCGGAAAACTTCTTAGATTTCTCCTAATAGGGGAAAAACCTATAGCTATAGATCGAGGTACCGATTCGCGGTAATTAGAGGGAAACGTAGCGTAGTAAAAAAGGACGGTAAGGTATCGTTATAGAGGATTCTACGATGCGCCCCTACCTATATATTTAGTAGGGCTAGAGTATCTCGCTATCGCTAGATCTCCTCCTTAGTAAGGCGTCTTACCGTCGGGATAAGCGCCCTAGCCTTTAGTTTACGCGATCGGGCGTTAGATACGGTTAGTAGACCTAAGGTCTTAGCCTATTTCCGGGCGTCGTAGCTACCGCTATCGTAGAAGCGATATGCGTCTAAGCTAATCGATTCGCTTAACGTAGCATTTTTACTTGCTAGCGAAGTTAGCTAGTTCGGGTCTATATCGGTAGCCGACTAACCTATCTACGCTTCCTAGGCGTCGGGTTAGGTAACCTTCTTAATAGACTTAGGGTCGCTATCTTCCGCGTAGTTCGGCCTTCTACCTCCTCTTAGCGGCTATCGTCTTATAGGCTACATATCTCGCTGTAGCTATTTCTCTTTATTATTATTAGGCTAGAGTCGCTTTACTATCGGCGCGACCTACGTAGGCATTCGCAATATTAGGGATAGTTTTATCTAACTAATCTGCTTATCCGTAATTTAGGAGTCCTCGAACTAGTCGATTAGGTAAGCGTTTGTTAGGATATCGTTAGAAGTAAGGGTATATAAGACGAGTATTAGGTTATATAGCAATATAATAGCCTCTATCCGCAATACTAGAATAATCTTAGGAAATCTAAAAGAGAGGGAAGCGTAGTGCCTCTTTTATTCCTACCGATAGGGGTAAGCGACGTAGCCTTTATAGGCTTAAGCGACGTAGCCTACCGGGGGTCCGCCGTCGGACTCTAGTCCGTCGGGAAAAGCTCGGCTTATCGCGACTCCTACGGGAATAGACCGATTCTATTAGCCTACTACTAAGATCTTTATAGGCGCCTCCTCTCTAGGCTAGTGTCCTTAGTAGCTAAACCGCCTACCTACTCCGGTATGCGTCGCGATACCGGCTAGCATATAAGCTAGATGCTATCGTAGCCCGTAGGCAGCCCGCCTACGATATCTAGGGTCTCGATGCCTAAGGCTAGGCTTTCGGGCCGCTCTGCCGCTCTAGCCGGCTAAGCTTTATATATAGCGTATAGGCCCCTCTTTCGATATTACTACTATACGCCTATATAGCGCGCCTATTAGCTAGGACTCTCCTATTTCCTTATATTTCTATTGCTCTCTACTAGTACGGGCGATACGCGTACGGCTTTATAATCCTATTGCTAGTTAGGTTGTTTGTTTTAGTTACGTAGTTGCTAGGTTAGCCGCTATTCCGCTATCGCTCCGTAGGTAGTAACGCGTAGACCCTTATAATAAGGCGACGCGCCCTCGTTCTATTCTCGCACCTATACCTATATACACTTCGCGATCGTAAGCGCCCCGCTACTATATTACCCTCTATTTCGCTATAGCCCTAACCTACATTCCCCTATCGACCCGCTTATTACTAGGAGGAGACTTATAGTATAGCTAGCGCCTATATTGCGGGCTATCGCCCTAACGGCCGTAGTAGCTATTAGGAAATTCGTAAGCTAGTAGAGGCCTTATCGGAGGATTCTAACTACTAGTAGCGACCTAAAGACCTCGCTACGACCGCGGCAGTTATAGTTATCTCTTATAAGCGCTACGCTAAGTCCCTCGCCGGAGGTGCGCTTTACAAGCGCGTAGCTTATCGAGCGTATAATAAGTGCTAACGCCTATATAAGGGGGGCTACGAGGAGGTACGTTTTCTCGATACCGCCGTCGGTCCGCCTACTAACCTCCTATAGTTAGGTCCCGCCTAGCAAGGCCGCATTAACTGTGTCCGTTAGCTCTATTTAGATTATCGTCGCGTAGTAGACTATCTTACCGACGGCGTTAATAATACTAATAAGCGCTATACTATCGTTCGCGCCTCTCGTCGGGCTACGACTACGGCTCGTATACTATTCCTAGCTATATGTACTCTAAACCGTACTATTCGATTAGTCGAGGTAGAGTTAAACCGTAGTAGTCTCGTATAGAGCATTAATATATAGCCGCCTCGTTCTATATAGGATTATTAGAGCCTAGTACTAGCGTAGTAGCTACTCGATTCTAGCAATTACCCCTCGTAGCGTACTTTATCGCGCGTCTTAGGCTCTCTCGCGGTATGTTCTGCCCCCTGTCTGCCTACAGTAATATTACTAACCTTATTAGCATCTATCCGAGTACGCCGTACGTACTAACGACCGCCTAGATTGCGCTATTGTAAACGAGTAGTAGAACTAACTACCTATTACTCTAAGCAAGCGTCGTCCGCGCTCCGACTAGGGTACGCCTCTCCTATTAGCTATACTTAACGCTACGCTAGTTACTACTAAGCGTACCTACGGCGATGTATTTACTAATTTAGAGGACAAATACGTTACGTTAGTCTACCGTTCCCGCCGTCGTTCCGTAGGCAGTCCTCGTTCTATCCTCTATATAGGCAGCTCTAGCTCTAGCTCTAGCAACACCGTTCGCTAGCGCGACGCCCTCGGTAGCGAGTTAACGATTAACCTATCTCCTAAGAAGGTACTATGCCGCAATCTTACTAAGGAATTTTAGCGTATACGTAGCGTAGACTCCTCTAGCGACGAGGAAGATTTAGAAGAGGAGGTAGCTAGCCGTAGTTCGCCTAAGAAGCTTAGTAGTACTAACGACTTGCCTAATATATTTACTCCTACTCGCTAGTGTCGCGCCTGCGTACCTATACTATTACCTAAGGCAGAGCGCACTCCGGCCGCTCTTACGGCTATTAAGCGTACTACTCTATACGATACCGGTAGTCGCACTACTGTTTAGTAAGAGATCCGACGTTATTAGGATAGCGAGGTAGTATTTACTAGTCGTACTAATCCTCCTACCTATATTCGCGGTACTAAGATCGCCGCGCTATCGCTACGTAAGCGTACTCGCACTTAGCCCGCTAAGGTTTCCTAGGATCCTAATAGTCTCTCTACTTCTAGCGATACCGACAGCGAGGGCAGCCTACTATCCGATAGCTCCTATAATCCTACGGCTATGTCTAGTAGGCTTAGCTCGCCCTCGCTACCTCTACGTCGCGCTCGTACCCCTCGCTAGGCTAAGCTATACCGCCGTCGCGGCAATAGTAGTATCTAGGAGTTAAGCGATATAGATAAGGACGAGGACCTTATAGAAGTACGTACTATACGCTCTAGTACGCTACTTCTACGTACTCCTCGTCGTAGCTCTATCGGCGACGAAGATAGTAGTATACTAGTTAATATTAGTACTAGTCGCTCCGTAGGCGGTCTGCCTACTATTACTACTTTATAGTAATAGCCTACCCTAGCGACTACTACTATAGGCAGTGCTATTAAGGCTGCCGGCGTTGCTACGTAGGTAGGCCTTAGAGCTTTCTAGGCGTAGAAGATGTTTAAAGGCAATAACTAGCTACGTATATACTTACCTCTATCGCCTTACTAACGGCTCGGGCGCTATAAGGCCCTTTCCTCTATATTAAGGCCTAGTTAGGAGCCTAGATCCTACTATTCTATATAAGATAATAGCTCCGTAGGCGGTCCGCCTACTCGTCGAGCTCTAGTGTTCTTATAAACTTTTTAGTTTAATAGTAGCCGGTTGCGGCTACCCTACTATATAGTAATGCAATAATTCTATACTTATCCTTTTTTCTTCTTTCCTTTTCTACGCCTATTATTCGCTTTCTCCTAGTCTTCGAGAAGCTTATCTATATTTTCAAAGTTTTTTTTACCTTCCTAGGTATTATACGTCTCGTTATAGCCCTTCTAGCGTAGGCGATACTACGTCTGTCTATCTTTGCTTCTTTTATCGACGATCTTCTCTACCTCCTATACCTTAGTACTATCTAGAAGAATCTCGGGCGCGGCTATATTCGCCTATTCTTCGCCGGCTCTTCTATAGTAAGGGCGTAATAGGGATATATAGAAGACGTTATAGATCTAGTAGGTAGATAGAAGTGCTAGGCGATACGCTTACGTTCTAATAGCTTTTTCTACTTAGAAAGGCCCTACGAATCGCATTCCTAGCTTACGGCTAGGCTAACGCAATTTTAGGTTCTTTATACTTAGTAGGACAAGGTCGCTCTTCTCTAGCGTTAGTATTGTATACCGCCTATTGTACGCTTTCTGCTAGTAGGCTTGCGCTCGATATAGGTGCTCCGTCGCAATCTTACGCGCGCTTCTTAGCTATTCTATTCTATCCGTTACTACTAGTACCTCCCCCTCTCGCTATACGTCCTCGTATAGTTCCGACTATCTTAGGTGTTTACTATTAATAATAAAGAAGGGTGTCTCGCCTATACTAGAATGCTTAGAGTTATTATATGCAAATTTAGTAAAAGGCAGTTGCTATACCTAGTCCGTCTACGCTTCGCTAATAAAAGAACGTAGGTAACCTTCTAAAGTCTAGTTCTAAACTTCCGTTTAGCTATCGGTTTAAGGATAGTACGTAGTAGATAGCCGTCGTTTTATCTAGTACTAATAGCAGAGTTTAGTCTAAAAGCCTAACGTAAATAGCGACCCTCTATCGGTAACAATCCCGTCTAGTATCCTAAATCTCGATATAACCCTTTCGAAGAAGTATTCCGCAAAGTCTAGCGTCTTCTAGGTTTCCTATATAGGGATATATAACGCTATTTTAGATAGCCTATCGACAATTACGAGGATGCTATTATATACGGAGCCCTTATGTTTCGCTAGCGGTAGCTTAGTAATAAAGTCTAAGCTAATTTCTAACTAGATCTTAGAGGGCACTAGCAAGCTCGCGAGCTTTCTATACGGTAGCTAGCGATTCGCCTTACTCCTCTAATAAATAGGATACGTTTTAACGTATTCCTTAACGTCTCGTTCTATCTCCGGCTAGTATAGCGATCGGTACGCTAGTGCTAAAGTCTTTAGTGCGCCGAAGTGGCCCGCTAGTTTTAAATCGTAGTATATAGATAAGACTTCCTAGCGGACCGATTGTTCCTCTAGAATATATAGTCTACCCTTATATCGAAGTAGGCCTTTCTTATTAAATCTCTATTTCTAGAGCCTACTAGTATTCGTTCGTTCCCCCGGCTTATCTCTCTTCTACTAGATAAAGTCGTCGCAGCGCTATAGCTAAGCGACGAGGCTAACGAAGGGTCTCGAGACGTCTATCGATATAGTTTCGCTAGCTAGTAGTATCCTAGCGACCGAGCGTAGCACGCACTATATATATTTAGTAGCACTAGCGAGTTAGGACGTCTCGCTCTTAGTTCCCGCCTTCTCTCCGATAGCGGAGCCTAAGATCTCCTTAGTCGTAGATTCCCTTAGTCTACTAGTTGTTATAGCCCGGGCGTAAGTAACGCGAACTACCTACGGTATTACTTCGCTATCTGCTAGTAACAGTTTTCGCTAGAGGGTTAGCAATAGTTAGTTTACCGCCTAGTTCTCGGTCTAATAGTCCTATCTCTTTAACGGACCGTCGGCGGGATTATTCTTCCTAGCCTAGTAGTAAATCTCGAAGTTAAAACCTCCGAGGAATATAGCCTATCGTACTTAACGAGGGTTTAGCCGTTAGACCGTCTAGATAGTTTTAAGATTGTTATAGTTAGTAAAGACCTAGACGGGTTTCGCTAGGCTACTAAAGTAGTAACGCTAAGTCCTAAAGTAATATACGATTACGAGGAGTTCTTAGTTATAAGTCTAGTAGTTCCGTTCCGCCTCGATTATCTTCCTCGAGGTAAACGCTACTAGGTGCTAAAGGCTATTATCCTAAAGCTAGGAAACGATGCCTAATAGCTTGAAATCTAAGGCGTCGGTTTCTAAGCGAAGGTCCTTTAATAGGTCGAAGTGTCGTAGCACTAGCGCGGTCGTAAACCGCTTCTTTAGTAGCTTAAAAGCGCCCTACTATCTAGCTCCCTAATTCTACGGTATATCCTTTTTAAGGAGGTCGGTAATTAGGGCGACTACCTTCGAATATCTATCGATAAAGCGTCGGTAGAAGTTAGCAAATCTAAGGAAGGATTGCACTTCTTAAATCGACTTAGGTATCGGCTACTCCGTAATAGTAGACACCTTCTCTAGGTCGGTAGCGACCCCCTATCGGTTAACGCGAAAACCTAGGAACGCGACCTCTTTAGTAGCGAAGGTGCACTTCTTAATGTTATAGAACAAGTCGGCGGCCTATAGGCGGTTAAGGATTCTACGTACGGTAGCCTAGTAGCTTTCTAGGCTATCGCTATAAGTATAGATTAGGATATCGTCTAGATATACTATATAGATATCGTCTAGTAGGCCGGCTAGAGCGCGGT